CTGTCTTTGCATATTGCAGAGTTATCTTCTCTTGAGAGCAGATATTGATTGTTTCGTCATTGGTTTGTGTGAGAAAATTACGTCGTTTTCTCAAAAATTGATGACGTTACTCTCAAAAACAAATGACGTAACAATCAATACCTGCTCTCAAGAGAAGATAACTCTGCAATACGCAAAGACGGAATACGATTCTTCAGAATATTTTTTTTGGTGAAATCATGTATTGAACTTTGAAACCAAGTGTTTTGATAGTATGATTTTAATCGTGGTAAATAACATGGAAGAAAGAGGTAAACTAGTATAAAGCAAAGGTCACCTTAAACTAATCAAACATCAGTGTACTTCTGTCTAAGACAGCTACTCAGATAACCCATTGTTTAAGACGGTTTGACAATCAAGTGATAACAATTTATTTTACCTTCCAGAATGTCCCGTTTGCTGAAATCGGCCAGAAGATTTTGGTCTTCTCCATCTACGACTTTGATAGGTTTTCCAAGCACGACCAGATTGGCCAGGTGAAAGTACCGATGAACAAAGTGGACTTATGTCAGACCATTGAGGAGTGGCGGGACCTAACCAGCCCCGACGCTGATGCTGAGAAGGTAGCAAACATTTTCCTGCACATTATTTTCTTAATATTTTCAAAGATAATATTGAAACTAGTTGCAAGACATGAGAGCTTCTATGTTGTATTAGGTTGAAATTATTTATCATTATAAATTACAAAGCAGACAGTAAATAGCTCAATCATGTTGTTAAGTTTGGTATGAATTACAGAACTGAAGGAAATTATTTTGGTCAAGTTGTTAGATTAAGTATAAATTTAATAACTGGGAAATACATACGGGCCAGGTTGTTCAGATTTAGAATGATCGAATTAGTAAACTGAAAAGAAATGTCCGAGTCAAGTTGTTGGACACTCTTTCAAGCTTCGTGTCGTGCAGTGTTATTGTCACATTTTACTAGAAAATACATATTCACACAGTATTGGATGTTTGGTTTTAAGATTGTTAGAACTGAAGTGGTTCTTGATTTGTTTAAAACATGTATTACCTTACTGTATAAATGAAAAATGACTAAATAACTATCACACCTATTGAATTATTTGTCTACTTTTCACTGATTAACAGTATCAAAGATTGAGGTATTTGTTGTATCTTTGAACGTGATGCTTTACTCCGCTTGTTCCAATCTACTTAGCTGTGAATGAGTATGTGGTTGAGCAGTGATAGCATTGTTGAATATTAGCGGTGAGCGCCGGCTCCCCAGGGAGTTGAGAAAGATATTGGCTGGGTGCAAAGGCCCTATAACCACAGATGATAATTTGTGAACCACTTTGAGACGACCTACAAACTAGGTTGTGATAAAGCAGAATAGAAGAACCACGAATTATTATTACTGTTATTATTTGTGTTTGACTTCTGTTTTACAGGAGAACAAGTTAGGAGACATTTGTTTCTCCCTGCGATATGTACCCACTGCTGGCAAGTTGACAGTCGTCATACTGGAGGCCAAAAATCTCAAAAAGATGGATGTCGGTGGACTGTCAGGTGCGTTGATGTTTTTAACGATTCAATGTTAACTATTGGTGCTTCCCAACAAAACAGTTCCATTTGATGTTATTACAGCCAAATTTCTTACAATTTTTAAAATAAGGAAAAATTTAACTGAAATAATTGGAAATTTAGAAACGTAATATAAGGTTTAACCAATCACTTTCATTATGCAAATACAGTAAATGAACTATATGTTTGCTCATGAAAAATTGTTTATATAATTTTAATAACTATCTTAAAGCTGAAGGCAATATCTGAGGTTTTGATAGAGAAAAACAATGAAGAGTTAATATAACAAGATTATCTTTGTCCTTTTGATCTTCATTACTGCTGTTGTCATGTTTTTCTGTCATCACTGCTGACCCATATAATTATCATGTACCATGTCATTATCTTACTGAAATGATGATCACCATTGAATCAATCCGGAAATCAATATTTCCAAGTGTTTTATGATACAGGGAAATAATGATGTTGTGATTGTAGAACGTTTGAAGTAAGGGACAGTGTATCACCATAGCAACAGTTGTGTTACCTTGGTATCATTTTTAGTCACATAAAATTTTTGAATGAATTAGAATTTCTGAAATTCTCACTAGGTGCATGCATGTCTATATACAAATTTCTATTTATGTTAACTTAATGGCAATTTTTTGTTACATCATGCATTAATTTTCTGCATGACAATCAGGTAGAATTAATTGTTTGGCTCTGATTGGCAGTCCAACCTGCAGGTCTCATTCCTGGATAACATAGACATTGTTCATTCAGGAGTAATTATAACCAAATGCCATTTTTTTTTATTCACAGCTGTTTAAATCTCACATCTTGACTCCTAGCTATTATAATTAAACACATCTTCTATATAGCTGATGATTAGACTCTCATTATAAATAAACACATCTTCTATATAGCTGATGATTGGACTCTTATTATAATTAAACACATCTTCTATATAGCTGATGATTGGACTCTCATTACAATTAAACACATCTTCTATATAGCTGATGATTAGACTCATTATAAACAAACACATCTTCTATATAGCTGATGATTAGACCCTCAATATAATTAAACACATCTTCTATATAGCTGATGATTGTACTCTCATTATAATTAAACACATCTTCTATATAGCTGATGATTAGACTCATTATAAACAAACACATCTTCTATATAGCTGATGATTAGACTCATTATAAACAAACACATCTTCTATATAGCTGATGATCCAATATAATTAAACACATCTTCTATATAGCTGATGATTAGACTCATTATAAACAAACACATCTTCTATATAGCTGATGATTAGACCCTCAATATAATTAAACACATCTTCTATATAGCTGATGATTAGACTCATTATAAACAAACACATCTTCTATATAGCTGATGATTAGACCCTCAATATAATTAAACACATCTTCTATATAGCTGATTATTAGACTCTCATTATAAATAAACACATCTTCTATATAGCTGATGATTAGACTCATTATAAACAAACACATCTTCTATATAGCTGATGATCCAATATAATTAAACACATCTTCTATATAGCTGATGATTAGACTCTTATTATAAATAAACACATCTTCTATATAGCTGATGATTAGACTCATTATAAACAAACACATCTTCTATATAGCTGATGATTAGACTCATTATAAACAAACACATCTTCTATATAGCTGATGATTAGACCCTCAATATAATTAAACACATCTTCTATATAGCTGATTATTAGACTCTCATTATAAATAAACACATCTTCTATATAGCTGATGATTAGACTCTCATTATAATTAAACACATCTTTTGTATAGCTGATGATTAGACTCTCATTATAAACAAACACATCTTCTATATAGCTGATGATCCAATATAATTAAACACATCTTCTATATAGCTGATGAGTAGACTCTTATTATAATTAAACACATCTTCTGTATAGCTGATGATTAGACTCTTATTATAATTAAACACATCTTCTATATAGCTGGTGATTAGACTCTCATTATAATTAAACACATCTTCTATATAGCTGATGATTAGACTCTTATTATAAATAAACACATCTTCTATATAGCTGATGATTAGACTCTTATTATAATTAAACACATCTTCTGTATAGCTGATGATTAGACTCTTATTATAATTAAACACATCTTCTATATAGCTTAATAGGTTTATAGTTTAGAGATTAAAAGAAGATAAGAATTTAGTTTACTATAAATTTCATGAGACTGTTTTCTCCACTTCAGCCGCTGAACTGTAATGCTGTTTGGTAAATCTTGACATGTACCTGTCTGTCAATCTTGTAATGTGCTTTATTTTAAATCAAACATTATTGACATGAAAATGTGTATTTTTGTTTACCAAAATATTGCTTTCCTTCAGTTAAAAAGAAATAGATCTATAAAAGTAAGGGAAAAAATAAAAGTTTGTAAGGCATGAAAAGATAAAACATTAATTAGCTACTCAAAGCACACTAAAATGTTAGTAAATCAGGCTCAAAGCACACTAAATTGTTAGTAAATCAGGCTCAAAGCACCCTAAAATGTTAGTAAATCAGGCTCAAAGCACACTAAAATGTTAGTAAATCAGGAAGGGGTGCTATGGTTCTGATGGTTTCCTTGTTGTTAAACTTTTAGATAATCCTAATTATGCTGTAACCCATCAAATATTTCAAATGTAAAATATATATAAAAAAAAGCTGTTTATTGGCAAATTTTGTATTTGTATGTGATAAAAATAGCAGTTAATGTATGAAACTATAAGTAGAGTTAAAATGTAATTTAGGAATAGGTCCATGCTATAATTTAGACAATTAACCTCAGTGAACAGGTTGTACTGCCATACAGAGCACCTATAGTAAAGGTGTTGATATTTCTTTGTCTCAATAATTTCCTATATTTATATAGTGCTACAATCTTTGTCTCAATAATTTCCTATACTTATATAGTGCTACAAAAGGCAATGCTGCAGATTTTGTGTTCTAGGAGGAATGTGTAAAGATTTTTTTGTTTTTTCTCATACAACAAGATTTGTTGTTCACCTAACTTTGATCTTGTTACAATGTTATGTGGGTTTTACCCATCAGTTATTATGTTAAAATGACCACCAGACACATTTTATTGATGCATCCCATATCAGAACCTGGTAGGAGTAACAGTTTTGATTTTAGTCTTTCCAAAAAAACATTGATGTTTAATGATGCAAAGTAATTATTTCTAACATATTTTGATCATAAAAGGAATTAAAAAGCTAATTTGATCATAAAAGGAATTAAAAAGTTAATTTGATCTTAAAAAGAATTAAAAAGTTAACTTACTTCTTATTTTGATTAAAAACAGAAATTTGAACTAGAAATTTAAAAAAATAAAAATAACTTCATAGAGATCTTTTAAAACTACTAACTTTTTCATATATAAATGAAAACAATATTGTTTTCAGATATTATGACCCCATTAAACTGTAATATTTATGCAAAACTGCTGAAAAGAAGAATACTTCTCAAGCAAAGTTATTATTTAAGGGGAGACAACTGCCATATGCCTTGGTAGTTCAGTACAGGCTGATATGGTAACATAGTGGTAGCTTGTACATGTCTGTCGGAGCACATAGTAAAAGAAACTCACAAATACCTGCTTTGGAAAAAAACATTTCACAGGAGCTGATCTGCTAGAGCAGACAATGATTTTGTTTTGTTTTTACAAAGATACTATGTACTCACCCTTTGTTTTATTACCAGATCCGTATGTGAAAATAGCTCTCTATCAGGGCAACAAACGCCTGAAGAAAAAGAAAACTACTATTAAGAAACGTACACTGAACCCGTACTTCAATGAGTCATTCACATTTGAAGTCCCCTTTGAGCAAATACAGGTATTTGGTCACTCACCTGTTTATTATTATTATTGCATTGCCATGGTTACAAGGCGTTTTTATACTATTGGTGATATGATGCCATGTCCAGCTGTCTTTGACCTTTCCAGATCTTTTTTTATTTAGGGATAATCTTAGCTTTTCATTGTCCATTTTTGAAAAGGAGCATCCATGTTTTGCATGTAGAGCAGATGTGCACGAACAGCTCTATCGTATTTACCTGTGGTAACCTAGCAGCAGTGGCTTTATCTATACACACATGTATCTATGGTAACGTGGCAGCTTTATCTATACCCACATGTATCTATGGTTACATAGCAGATGTAGCTTCATACCACATGCTGCTTTTTAGCAATTTTATAATCTAGCTTTTTAATCCAAGCATTGATGTGCTTATTATATTTTTTCCACAGTTTTCAAAACAAAAATCCATCTTGGATAAATTTTCATTCACTTCATCTTCATCAACCATCATTACAAGTTTTGGCATTTTTATTTTCTCTTCTCAATTTGTTTTGTAGACAGAGAATGTGACTCTTAAATTCTAAGCTTATTACATATATTGTCCTCATTTCTCTTCTGAGATTGCTTTTCTTGTTATATAACAAAGACTGACTGTCTCTGTTCCCCTTGACCATTGAAAAAATGGTCCTCAAACCCCCTTGCCCCAAATAAGGTCAAAAACTGGACATGGCATTGAGGTACTCATGCATGATTTGTTTCTATCATTTTTTTTTTACAGTTTTCTTACATTTCTTACGTGGGTTGTTGATGTTTCTGAAATTTTTTCTTTTTTTTTCCATTTTCATTTCGTCTGACAGATCCTTATGTTAAGATATCTTTGATGTTAAATGGCAAGCGAGTTAAGAAGAAGAAGACGACAATTAAGAAGTGTACTTTGAATCCATACTATAACGAGTCATTCACATTTGAAGTTCCTTTTGAACAAATTCAGGTATTGTTGGTCTGTAGTAGCTGTGTGAAACAATCTTGTGATGTACTGCTGCACAGTAGCGTCTAGTGTAGAAGTTTGTGCTGTGACAAGTAGTGTTCTATGAACTAACATCCTGCTTGTTCCCAATGCGTTGCATGTGTTTAACCCAACAATGTTTCTTGATCAAAACAAAACATTTTAACTTTCCATTCATGCTAATGTGTGAAAACTTTGAGATTAAATCAAAAGTTAAATACGAGAGATTTTTTTTTTTCAAGAAATGTTGGCTATGCATGCTTTGTGAGACATTCACCATAGCTAGCTGTGTTATGTTGACAGCAATGACACAATCCTTCAGTTTTAATAGATTAACATACTATCTATAGCAAACCATATGCATATACTTATATCTGAATCATGAACATTGTTTTAACTCATTTTCTCTATCCATCACTTTTAAATCTTTCAAATAAAGTTTTTGATCTTCTAATAATCCAAAATATTCAGAGAAAACAAAGGAAAGTTTATGTAGCATCAGTTAAAATATTTCAGAAAAAATCTAAAACTGAATAAAAATAACTTGGACATTTTTCACAGTTTAAGCTAATATCTACAATAAAAAAGTTCAGAAATGTAAAATAATTCAGTTGTTTTATGCTGCATTTGATTTCAATACGTTTAGATCAATAACAATAAAAATATCTATATATAAAAAACACTGTTCTATCTGATTTTCATTTAGTTGAACAGATCCAGCAATCTGTGACAGAAAAGGATATTAACAAAATTTGTATCTAAATATGAGTTTGTAGTAGACAATAACCTAGCAATCAGCAGCAGAAAACACCTGTCTAAGTCATTCTATGTTATAAGTAGAGACCTGGTTTGCTATTGTGCTGTGCTACCTGAATGGCTGTATGTATGGTGTGCTAGCATGGCCTGATGGTGTATCACTGTGTTGTAAACAGAGGACCACAAATGTCTTGCTAAGGTAGACAATAAATATATATAATAACTGATAGTCTTAGAAGAAAAAAGTTTGATGTAGAGAGTTTGGTTTCATTTTATTTTGAATTCAAGCTCTGTATTAATTTTTGGGAAATTTTATGCAAATGTTATAAGACTTTATTATTTCTGAGAATGTCTATAGAGCTGGTAGTTGTATACACATACCTATATACCCATATGTATTTATGTATATTAATGCTCACATGTAGATCACTGTAGACTAGAGGTCATGTGAGATTCCTGTCATGGTGTTGATCCTCACATTTTACACCTGTGATTCCTAGCAGGCTCCTTCCAAGGGACACTACTCTAGCTCCAGTCAGGGTAAACAACCCTATGGCCTCAAGCAGGGACATTGACAATGACATTTGGTCATGGATATTGTCCTTGACTCCTGACGAAGGACAAAGTTCTGACTCATGACAGGGGACACAACCCTGGCTAGAACTATTAGTTTACTTCTTGAAGGTAACATAATTCTGACCCTTGACAAGGGACTTCAACTCTCAATGCAGACAGATCCACTCCCGTATACAATGTTGTACTGACAAGTAGTGCACCAAAATCTCCGACCTGTGTGTGTTACTTTCATCACCACCAATGTATGCAGTGTCTTTGAGTCTTGCCAGAAAAAGTAGAGACGGCAAATTATTATATACTAACATTTTGTATAATGGAATGTGATTTATGTTGTTAAAATATGTATACTCTTGAATGTAGTTTACATATAGTCTAACTAACACAACCTTTTGTTTCAGTGTTTTCTTCAATGATTCATAATTTTTATGCTTCTTGTCTTCCTTTTTCATATCTGGAGTTTAAAAAAGAGAAAATCCGTTTTAATATATATCTATCTATTTAATGAGTACCACAGTATGGATAAGCAAAATAAAAAAAGAATAACCCAGAAAACAAAAACAAAAACATGCTTACAGTATTTCAACTGAAGATATAAAAATGAAATGCTTATTTTATGTGGAATAAACTGAATTTTTTATCTGCATCTAAATGTTGTGTGCTTTGAATGTGTATTGACTACTTTTAACTTGAATTTCAAATACCAAAAATAAGTGATAAACATTGATAATTTATCTGTGATCAATTTTAATTGTTTAATCGTTGTATTTGTTTATGATATGCACATCAATTTCTGTGATAAGTATAAAAAATAATAAATGTATTTTCATACTAAAACAGAAAGTGTCTCTCTACGTCACTGTCGTGGATTATGACCGCATCGGGACCTCAGAGCCAATCGGCCGTGCATTGCTAGGATGCAACTCAAGCGGAACGGAACTTCGTCACTGGAGTGACATGCTTGCCAATCCCAGGCGTCCAATCGCACAGTGGCACACTCTCCAGGAAGTCCCAGAGAAAAGCTAAGAGATGTGGCAAAGGTCAACCACTGCAGGGTCGACCTGTACAGGGTTACAAGTACTTGACCTAGAGGCCATGATGTGCAATGTCATCAGACATATTATAAAAACTGTTGAAATGAGCATATATTGTTATATGTCATAGTCATCAATATGGCAAGGATGAATGAAATATTATATTTAGCAATTAACTTGCTATTATATTACATACATTACTTGTTATCCTGTTTTGGGGTAATTTATATATCTTTTTTTCTGTTGTAGTACATAGAAGGTTACTTTAATAAAGGAAAGCATATTGGACACTTCAGCTTTCAAGGTTTTAGTACTTCATGTATAGTTTCATCATCTATGGATACCAAATATCCAAGCCTTGTAGCCTTCAATTTTAGATCCCAAGGTTAAATCAACAGACAAAAAAGGGGGTGTTTGTGTAGTAGTTTTATCATAATGTAGCTGAACAAATATGTCAATGCAATCTTTTAGAATCGGTGTATTGACTGTGTTGATATAACAATGCATAGCCAATTCTCTTTATATTTTACCTGAGTTATCCAATTTATATAAATATAGTATTAATATAATGGAAATCCACCATGTCAGATATGTTTGACAAGGCACCTTTTTTTTTACATTTTACCAAATATGCTTTACGTTTATCAAATGTAATATTCAAATTTATTTTAAATTATATTTTTACCAAAGGAAATAAATTTTTGGCCGAGCGGATATGGTTAAGCCTACTTTAGACTTTGCTGAAATCATTTTGTTTCAGTAGGTATATTAAACCTGGATTACATTAATCAAATGATGACATTCCATTTTATTGTAAACATGCTGAAATATTAGGAAACTGTTTTAGATTTTAATCATCTGTAAAGTATCATTAAGTAGAAGGAAGGTTAATTTTGGGGGAAATTAATTAGTTTATCAATCAATATTGAATTAAAATCATATGATGTAAATACCCTTTATCATTGAAGAACAAATATGCATCATTTTAGACCAATTTTACAGCTGTTGATCAAAGTCCATATAGTTAACAACGGTAGCATCACTCAGCTTGTAGAAAGAAGACCATCTCAAAGGGTATACATCCTCCCTTCTCACTAGTCACCACTCCTGGTCACAACATTATGTAAGGTTCCAACGAAATCTCACCAGTATATAGGTCAAGGTTCTTGCCTCTTGAGTTATCTACCTTGATATGTGTGGGGGAAAAAAGACAATTTCTGAGTTTAAAGGAATTTCATTGTTCTTAAAAAGGTGTTGAATTATCTTCAATTAGGTGTCATAATATAGAAATTTTGGATGTTTTCAAAAAAAAATTGGGATTCATCAGTCACAATAAGATCATAGAATTACAATTTTAATTAAGTTTCTTAAAGTTCTTTTAAGTTTTTTAAAACATTCTTTAGCATTAAATGTCAGTTTCGACTGAATTTATTACCTAAAGATCTAAATGATGATTGAAAACGTTAGTGTGTGTCAGACAGACTTTTTGAAATAAGACAAAAATTCTCAAGTTGTAAATAAATTTTAAGTTTAAATTGAGGTTGAATTGATGAGACAATTCGGTGATTTGAACTTTGACCTGTGTGTGTAGCATGTATATAGTTGCCCTCACCCTGTCGTATCTGTGTCCTTAGGCTTCCTGTACTTAAACAAAACTAGGACAGACCAAAACTCTGTGATAAATCTCTAGGATTTTGTGCTGTTTACATGACAAAGCCCCAATTCCAAGACTTGTAAGACTGAGCTGGCGTTCCCATCAATCTCAGCTCTACAGAATTAGTTCAAGTCTGCTCAGTCTTGAGGCTAGTTTTTGAAAAAAGGTGAAGCGAAATATATGTCAGATTTGTATATATATAGTTTTTGAACACATCTCATTGAGAATACCTATGTGTGTCATTAGTCAATGGTGATGGAACAGCTGTATTTATGTATACTTGTAATCTGTTAGTGTATTATTTGCATCTATAATGTATCTTTCAGATTCATTCAAATCTTTTATATCAATTGATAGTGTCACAAAAGTATGATAGGAATAATATTTCAATAATGAACAGGTATCTCCATCATCACAAAGAACTGGAAATTTAAATAAAATTGAAGATGTGACTAAAAATCGGGGAATGAAAAGACATGTTTATGAATCATTCCAGTAAAATCCCTTTTCCCAATGTTATCTTTCACAGCCGATGGAAGAAGTTATTGTTATATGATATTCATGTTTTATGATGTTTTTGTTTGTATGATTTTTTGTTAGATAAGAGACATATTCCCGGTAAGGTTTGTGATATAATGCAAACAAAGAAGTGTGAGAATTGTTAAAATACATTCATTTTTTTTATTTTTTTTTGTATAATTAAACAAAGAAATTCTCATGTTAAAATGCCTACCTATTCAACATCAAAGGGAAGACCAAGATATATATTCTCAGATGCACTTGTTTTAAGCTACTTAAAATGTGTAATTATTTGATTTTATCTCTGTAGGAAAAAAGTTATGTTTGGGTCATAAACATGATTTCTTCATACTCACAAAACTTGCTGTTCTGAACTGTTAGTATTCCCAGATAGTGAGTTAATGGAAGTTCAGGCTAATATTAGGTTAACAAGCTTTGTCCTACATCTGGACATGATAAGCATGCCCATTTCCTTGTATTAAATAATATTTTATTCTAGTTTTATTTGATGTACAGTAATATACACCTTCATCAGAGCCTGCATTTTAAAGTGAATCTCTTTGTTTATGAACAAAGTTTCGAGTTTCAGTTGAAACAATTATAGTTCTAATTGTTATCTTTAGTCTCATTTTTTATTAGACATTTGTAATTCAAATATAAACATTAGCTGTTTTTGAAGGTTTTTCTCTTGGGTTTAAAGTAGTGATCATACTAGACACCTTATTGTAAAATCAAATGTAATTAACATTCCTGATAGGTAATTTTCTCATCATCGGGTATTAGCGTTTTGCTCTTTTTCATCATCAAGGTTCTAAAATTAGTGTTCTAAGGTTTGGTTAATAAGTTCTTGTCTTACCTCTAAGACAAATCCCTCTATTGAACACCTTACATGTGTCTCTTCTGTCATACCTTTCATACGAGATCACAAACCTATGAAACTGATAAGAATTTGGGGTTACTGAACTGTCCCTCTGTCCCTCTCTCTCTCTCTCTCTCACACCTTAATTATGAGATCACAAACCTATGAAACTGATAAGAATTTGGGGTTACTGAACTGTCCCTCTGTCCCTATCTCTCTCACACACCTTAATTATGAGATCACAAACATAAAAATTGATAGGAAGTGTGTTACTGAACTGTCCCTCTCTCTCTCACACACCTTAGTTATGAGATCACAAACATATAAAATTGAGAGGAAGTGTGTTACTGAACTGTCCCTCTGTCCCTCTCTCTCTCACACACCTTGGTTATGAGATCACAAACATATAAAATTGATAGGAAGTGTGTTACTGAACTGTCCCTCTGTCCCTCTCTCACACCTTAACTACGAGGGCACAAACCTGTAGATATGATAGGAATTATGTGTTTCCAAGCTGTATCCACCATTCTGTTACATAGAGCAGTCTACTGTTGGTGAAATAAAGTCTGTCTGTCTGGTTATTCCGTGTTGTTGAAATTCTATTCATGTTCATCCATGCTTTTAATACACGCACAACCTTGTTATTTGCTGTAAATGTATAGGAACAAAAAAATAGAAAAGATTGAGATAAAATGTTGTTTGAACTCAATTAGAGGTTTAGGTCCTAAACTGAAAGGCGAAAATGAAATGTAGTCTTGATTAAAAAAGTATAACTGAAAAGCTGGGTTTATGATGTAATTTTAAAGACGTTTACATGTTGTTGTTTTTTAGGTCACCTGAGCTTTGCTCAAGTGACCTATTCCAATCGCTTTCCGTCCGTCGTCGTCCGTCGTCCGTCGTTCGTTGTGCGTCGTGCGTAAACTTTTACATTATCAACTTCTTCTCAAGAACCAGTGGATGGAATTTTTTCAAACTTGGTCAGAATCATCCTTGGTAGATGAGGCTACCAAATTGTAAAATTGGGATTCCTATCCCAACCCTAGGGGCCAGGGCGGGGCCCAAAAGGGAAAATTAACCAATATTTCAAAAATCTTCTTCTCCAGACTCAGAGGTATTACAGTCATTTTCTCTGCATGGATGGAAAGATCATCAGGGGCTTTATTTAAATTGTAAATTTCAGGACCCCCGAGCTATCCGTTCTCCCTTGGGGAGGGGGTAAAGTTTACTATAGTTTATATAGGGAAACAACACTTTTGGGTATATTTTGACAATTTTCTGTTGGAAATTATTTTTACTTGGTCAGAATCATCCTTGGAGGAGGAAGATGGTTTTAAATTGTAAAATTGGGATTCCTACCCCAACCCTAGGGGCCAGGGCGGGGCCCAAAAGGGAAAATTAACCAATATTTCAAAAATCTTCTTCTCCAGACTCAGAGGTATTACAGTCATTTTCTCTGCATGGATGGAAAGATCATCAGGGGCTTTATTTAAATTGTAAATTTCAGGACCCCCGAGCTATCCGTTCTCCCTTGGGGAGGGGGTAAAGTTTACTATAGTTTATATAGGGAAACAACACTTTTGGGTATATTTTGACAATTTTCTGTTGGAAATTATTTTTACTTGGTCAGAATCATCCTTGGAGGAGGAAGATGGTTTTAAATTGTAAAATTGGGATTCCTACCCCAACCCTAGGGGCCAGGGCGGGGCCCAAAAGGGAAAATTAACCAATATTTCAAAAATCTTCTTCTCCAGACTCAGAGGTATTACAGTCATTTTCTCTGCATGGATGGAAAGATCATCAGGGGCTTTATTTAAATTGTAAATTTCAGGACCCCCGAGCTATCCGTTCTCCCTTGGGGAGGGGGTAAAGTTTACTATAGTTTATATAGGGAAACAACACTTTTGGGTATATTTTGACAATTTTCTGTTGGAAATTATTTTTACTTGGTCAGAATCATCTTTGGTGGATGACGGTATCAAATTGTAAACTTGGAATTCCTTCCCCATCCCCAGGGGTTAGAGCGGGGCCCCAAAGGGAACATTTACAAATATTTTAAAATTCTTATCCTTTGATGACATGACAAGTATTGTATTTCACTTAGTTTACATGCTGATTTCCACATCACATCTAAACAATAAAATAAAGCTACCAGTACCTATGATATAACTCAGGTGACCGCTAAGGCCCTTGGGCCTCTTGTTCTAAATTTTGAGAAGGAGTGAATTTTTCACAAATTAAGTAAAAAATGACAATAAAAATAATAGTTAAATCGATATGCATTGTATTTTTTAATTGCTTTTTAGTACATTTACATCACAGACTTAATTGCTTTTTAGTACATTTACATCACAGGCTTAATTGCTTTTTAGTACATTTACATCACAGACTTTAAAGGGATTAAACAAATTTAACGTTTATGTAATTTATTTAACCATGAAACTTTGTGGCTGAAGGTATTTGGTTGAATATCTCGAATAAGCATAGGACGTTCAAGGAGTGAGAAAAAAACCTTTTAATTGGAAGAACTTTATGATTTGGTATGATGTAGTCTAAACGGAAATCGAAACAAATACAGATCGACAATAACAAATGAGTTAATTGTATGGCGTACCAAAACGAAAAGGGCAGATATTTCGGATAAAAACATTATTTAATTGTTACAACACATTAGCAGCTAAAGGACAAAAGAAAACACTGCATTCTGCAGGTGCTTTGAATAAGAATAGTTGCCTTGTAAGATGATGCTTTAAACTAAAGCAGGCGTATTATGTATTGGAACCTGTTTAAATAAAAATAAATATGTTGCCATTGAATTAAACTTTAAGCATATTTAATTGTCCTCTGTTTCGTTCCCGACATTGGTATGGTCATACGTGAATACGCATGCTCGGTTTGCCCCTCTGGCCTTGACCCTGACGGTGCCCTTTGGGTTGAGTTGCATGATGTCGTAGGGGTCGAACAGCTGTGTGTAGATGAGAGAAGGCACAAGGTGCCGAAGTCAGTCTCGAAGTAGTATCCGCTGACGTCACTATCATGCCACGTGTGTCGAATGTCTGACCAAGTCACCTGCAATGATGCATTTTGGGAAAATATTATAATATTGACTGTTGGAAACATGAGAACATCTCGTTAGTCGACAAAGTACAAATGATACTAATCGAAATTGAACAATGAGCAAGTTATAGACATACCGTGAATTCTGGGTCAAGCTTAGTAAGTTGAAGCCTATGATTACCACGGAACGATTGTTCGGGTTGTGGAAGGAACGGTGGGCGATGATGGGCCAACCAGCATCATTGTACACCTTTTGTGCCAGTGTTGAACCAGAGTTCTTCGGTATACACGTGAAGTCAGGATCCCAAGCAGACACCGACACCTTCTGGACAAACAAAGCCCCTGCGGACAAAGCCATGTCCAGTCTACCCTTTGTGACCCTGTCCATTGTGATCAAAATCCCAAAACCTGATGTTGGAAGGAAAGGGTTATCTTGGAGGAACTCGAAGGCTTCAATGTTCAACCACATATCAAAAGAACTATTGTTCTCTCGCAATAAACAAAGATCCCGTTAGCTGAAAACAGAGAAGGATGGTTACATTATCATTCCTATCAAAAAAACATCGAAAAAGTAAAGACATCCATGCCAATTATATTTTCACATCAAGATTTATTTTACCACTCGCTTCAAATAAAAAAGGTTTCGGTTGTGGATTCTGGTAATGCAGCACTTCATCAAGTGTCTTGTCGACCTGTGATATCGGTAAAGCGTTCTATGTAGGACAATAGTAACAGGATTTTCCAAAGCCCCTCCCTTCATGGATGTTCATGACGTCAGCTACGGAAGCGCTCACGAGCGCATTGAGTCCGTGGACATGATCGTCTATGCTGTATCCTCCCGTTTTTCTCAAGTCAACAGAGGCAGAATCTTAAGAACTTTTTGCCGTGGTGATGTACCGTGTTTCCTTGTGTAGAGGATAGGATGAGAGCGTCTTTGGCAGTACTGCACTCGCCCAGAGGAAGCGCGTCGCCTGAATTGTACCCGGTAACGGCATCATAAGCTGTCTTATATTTAGACTTTCTGAGAACTATACCAGAGTATCTTTGTTGGTGGTCCACCAAAAGCCTGCTAAACCACTCGTAGTAGGCCCCCATGTACTGGTGGTTTGGTAATGTATCAGGTGCCTCGGGGATTCCCAAATACACCGACAGTTTGTTGGAGTCTACGCCAGCAAAGGATGTAAAAAGACACTGGTCTCGCGGTTTGCTGAACATAAAAAAGAATCATCAATTATAACCATGATTCCTATATATGTATTACAAAATATGTTTCATGAATAATGACGTCTACCATTAGCAAGAAAAAGATCAGAATGTACCGAATAATGATGAAATATGTACCTTTGTGGTCTAACAGTTATCGGAAGAACAAGTCGGAAATATGTTTTTGCCTGGACCAATTTCTTCTCGAATGCTGGACACGCAACAATGGCGTCACTAAAATTTTCCCCGCTTTTATAAAATGCAAATGATGCTATGTTTAATCCAAGTTGGTTCATTTCCTTCTTTGCGTCTGCAAAACACGTTGGTCCTGTGTTGGTTGCCGTGGTGCCACACCACGCGAAATCCGGATCCGCCTCCATTTCTTGTTGCGACCGGAACTGGAATTGCGGGGCTTTCACGAGGACTGTATCGCCGCCACTTTTGGTGAAGTTAGTCAGAGTTTCATTCCAGTTATCACGAGAGAGATGGTCACTGAACCATGCCGCTGTGATGGGATATCTCTGAGCAGCACAAACGTATAATACAGACAACAGGGTTCCCCAAAACAACATTGTTTTAGAGCCAGATTTCAACGAGGCGTTCAACTAGACTAATACTGATCTATACTGACAGTAAATTTTCATAAAGGTCAAGGTTGTTGCATATCTATTGGATAAGGACGATACAGTTTTGATTTTGTCAGATGAAGTTGAACTTGATAAGGTGTTGCGTACATGCAGCACTATTGATATGCGTTTTTACTACTGTGAAACGAAATCGTACATTGGTTAATCCATAAGGCCTTCTCTTATTTCAAGTTATCTTATATTATTTAGCTGAGATTAAGAGTTTCGAGAGCTTGTTTTCAACTCATGTGGTTTTTAAATAGAAGTGCATGGTCTCTAGAACAGGTTTAACTGTTATACGAGTATCCCTGCCTTGTGTAACATTTCATCTTCCAATAAAGTCTGTTCACACACTTCATCATTCTTTCGATAGGTTGGCACATGCAATCTTTTTTTCCTTTTCATCCTTTTTCTTTTGTTTCAAATGTCATCGTATTACATCAAGTCCGCATAACTTTGAAACTGTGTCCGATGTCAAAATCGAACAAAATATCAAATAATATATTAATACACAAACAAAACAAAAAAACCCGGAACATTTTAAAAATTTGACCCAGCTGGTATACTAAATAAGGCCCCGAGTTTTGAATCGTTTTCATGGCAGTCCATCCTTTCAGTAAAACCGATATAAATATAGAGAGAGGATATTTAATGGTGTCTTCAGTAATAACAAACATAGTTCATGAGTGAAATTTTTACTGTATTTTACCTTTATTTTCATATTTTGCGCAGCACGTTTGAAAAATATCAAAATATTAGCCACACTCGTGAAATATATTTGTTATTACTGAAGATACCATTAAATTTTCTATTTATTACATTTTTAAAGCATAAAACATGAAAAATGTAATGCATAAAAAAGAGGGCGGGAATCAGAATCGGAATCTGAACAAAAAATCGTTGTCTTTGAATGCAGCGAATAGAAGATACCGTTATGATTGGTCAATACCAAAAAGTGATATTTTCACATATTGTGAAAATATCACTTTTGGTGAAAGATATCAGTTTTATCAAGTTGATAGAATCCGATATTTCACTGGCAAAAATGTAATAAATATGTATAAAATTTCTACACTTGAACAAGTGGTCAAAGACAACATGAATACGCATCCTATTGGTCGGTGTACCTAAATAGAATAGGATGCTAGGAAAGCCGCATCATAAGTGATTTTTTAATAGCCTCTCCAATGTGTCCCCAGCTCAGGACAAAGGAAAGCATCGGATTGTGCAGGTGCTCTACACTTCACTGAAATAGTGAAAGTCGTTAAAGATAATGCTATAGGATACAGCAAGCGTATTCAGTGTAGAAAAGTCCATATACCACAAACAGTGAATGGTTTATGAGTGACATCTCCATGAAAACAGTCTAATGCGATATTTACACTGCCCTCTTCATCTGTCATCAGGCAAACGTCGGATAAAGGTTACGGGGTACATATCGCACTAGTCATCGAAACGTCACACATACGCACTTCATTGGTTGTGCTATATGGACCTTTAAAGCCAACCTAAAAGATTTAGCAATAATAGTATTCTTGCCTTGAACCTGTCAAAACATCATAATTTGATGCGAACGTGGTATATTATTATGTCTCCCCTTCGAATGAAGGGAGACATTGTATTAGTACTGGTTCTTCTTCTTCTTCTTCTGGTTCTTCTGATCTGACTTGTTTTGGCATAACTTTTAAACCGTTAACTTTTAAACCGTTAAAGATATCTTGATGAAACTTAAGGTATGCATGCATCACACACAGGAGGTCACATCAAGGTCAAAGGTCAAATAAGTGCACATTTTCAGTAAACTCTTTTCCGGCCCGTAAATTTCAAACCGTTAAAGATATCTTAATCAAACTTAAAGTTTACCTGCATCACCCACAGAAGGTGTGCAGTGAACTGGAATAGCCCCACTATATACAGAGTTATGGCCCTTTGTTTAATTTTAATACCGAAGTTTGTCCAGAGCTTAAGTTCTATGTTATTTCACCTACGTTGACCATACTTACCATATTGATGTATCTTGGAAAGGCGGAAATTCTCACACTAAAATCAGATTTTATGCCCCACTATATGCAGAGTTATGTCCCTTTGTTTATTTCTAATACCGAAGTTTGTCCACGTCATAACTTCTAAACCATTGAAGATATCTTAATCAAACTTGAAGAATACCTGCATCACCCACAGAAGGTGTGCAGTGCACTGGAATTAGGTCTCGTGCGTCACTATATACAGAGTTATGTCCCTTGGATTAATTTTGATACCGAAGTTTGTCCACGGCATAACTTTCATGTTCCATGCCGTGCCCTATACTAATTCATCCGTCCGTCTGTCCGTCACATACAAACAAGGTATCAACTGACCAAAGGTCAAAGTCCAAGGTTGGTTGGAATTTAACAAGGAGTCAACTGACTTAAGTTCAAGGTCATTGGGCCAAAGGTTAAGGTCAAATTCAGTATCTTTTTTACTGGAGAACATTTTGTTATAACACTTTGAAAAGCAAAATTAGGGGGAATTAAACAAAGAGTCAGTTGACCAAAAGTCAAGGTCACTCGGTCAAAGGTGAAGGTTACATTTTGTATCTTTTCACTAGTAAACATTTCGTTTTGACACTTTGAAGCAATGTTGGTCAGAATTAAACAAGGAGTCAATTTACCAAAGGTCAAGGTCACTGGGTAAAATGTCAAGGTCAAATTTTGTATCTTTTCCATGATGAACATTTTGTTATGACACTTTGAAGCAATGTTAGTCAGAATTAAACAAGGAGTCATTTGACCAAAGGTCAAGGTCACTGGGTCAAAGGTTAAGGTCAAATTTTGTATCTTTACCATGATGAACATTTTGTTATGACACTTTGAAGCAATGTTTGTCAGAATTAAACAAGGAGTCACTTGACCAAAGGTCAGGGTCATTTGGTCAAAGGTCAAGTTCAAAATCAAAGCTAACACATGAGTATTGCACCGGTATTTACATTCTGTTAGCCCAGCAAATATGGAGGTGGAAGGAAACAAAACTCACATCATATTACATGTAAAATGTTTATTTTGCTTCCTTGCTATTTTTTTTTGAAGTCCAAATGTCAAACGTCAAGCTCAGCTATATGGGAGATTGCTTCTTGATGATTATGGGGGATATATTGCCACAAGACGGGGTCCTTACTGACCTGTAAGTGTTCTAGTTTCACCTACGTTGACCAAACTTGCTAAAGTTTTAATGTATCTTGGTAAGTAGGAGTATCAAATTCTAAATTCGGGTCTCGTGCCCCACTATACAAAGCGATATGGCCCTTTGTTAATTTTTTATACCGGAGTTTTTCTATTGGCTAATAAGGGGAGACATATATTTTTGTTCACAGAAACAAAATTCTAGTTGCAACTTTCAACATATTTATTTGTCCCCTGTTTCGTTATCGACTTTGGTATAGTCATACGTGAATACGCATGCTCGGTTAGCCCCTCTGGCCTTGACTCTTACGGTGCCTTTTGGGTTGAGCTGCATGCTGTTGTAAGGGTCGTACAGCTGTGTGTAGATTAGAGAGGGCACCAGGTGGTGCTCACTGCCAAAGTCAGCCTCAAAATAGTAACCGTTGACGTCACTATTATGACGCGTATGCCCAATGTCAGACCAAGTCACCTACAATGACGTATTTTAGGGTAAAAGAGAATTGAAAAAGTTGAATCTGTTTAAAAAGATGACAAAGTGAAATAAAATACACAGAACACACCAATCTTTTCGTTTTATTATTTTTTATTCTTATTGACAGCATTTAAAAATCCCAGGAATGTATGTAAAAGAAATTATTCAAAAAAGCAAAAAGGAGATACTTAATACTATTTCTGAACTTTATTTATGTTACCAAATTGTAGAAGATTATACTAACAAAAACGAAACAATTACCATAAGTGCAGCACATAATGTTTGCATGTATTGAATGATTGACTGGTACAAATGATAAAGTTATATACATACCGTGAATCCTTGTGTTTCTCCCAGTAAGTTGAAGCCTATGACCACCACGGAACGATTGTACTGGCTGTGGAAGGAACAGTTGGCGATGATGGGCCGACCAGCATCATTGTACACCTGTTGTGCCAGTGTTGAGCTTGAGTTCTTCGGTATACAAGTGAAGTCAGGATTCCAAGCAGACACCGACACCTTCTGGACAAACACAGCTCCTGCGGACAAAGCCATGTCCAGTCTACCCTTTGTGACCCTGTCCATTGTGATCGAAATTCCAGTACCGGATGTTGGTAGGCAAGGGTTATCTTGGAGGAACTCGAAGGCTTCAATGTTCAACCACATATCAAAAGAACTGCCGTTCTTCTGGAGGCCTTCTCTTGCAATAAACAAAGATTCCATTAGCTGAAAACGGAAAAGGATGTTCACATTACCAAATATCGAAATATTATAGACATCCATGCCTATTATTTTTCACATCAAGATTTATTTTACCACTCGCTTTAAGTAAAAAAAACACCACACCATCGTATAGTTTTGTTTGGTGTAAACATAGAAACCATAAAAAAGACGAACATACAAATTGATATCCCAACAACTGGTAAAGACCCGCACCACAGATAGGATACATTGTTCTAATCAATTCCAGGAAAATAACGAAAGTCAATATATAAGAACACGAACATGTCTTTAAATACTTCAAGCTCTTGGTTTAAGCAATATAAGCAGTACTACCTGTTGTATACTACCGAAGAAGAAATCATCAAAAGTGACATTAGGTTTCAGTTGGGGATTCTGGTAATGCAGCACTTCATCAAGTGTCTTGTCGACCTGTGATATCGGCAAAGCGTTCTGTGTAGGCCAATAGTAACAGGATTTTCCAAAGCCCCTCCCTTCATGGATGTTCATGACGTCAGCTACGGAAGTGCTCACGAGCGCATTGAGTCCGTGGACATGATCGTCTATGCTGTATCCTCCCGTTTTCCTCAAATCAACAGAGGCAGAAACTAAGAACTTTTTGCCGTGGTGATGTACCGTGTTTCCTTGTGTAGAGTATAGGATGAGAGCGTCTTTGACAGTACTGCAGTCGCCCAGAGGAAGCGCGTCGCCTGAATTGTACCCGGTAACGGCATCATACGCTGTCTTATATTTAGACTTTCTGAGAACTATACCAGAGTATCTTTGTTGGTGGTCCACCAAAAGCCTGCTAAACCACTCGTAGTAGGCCCCCATGTACTGGTGGTTTGGTAATGTATCAGGTGCCTCGGGGATTCCCAAATACACCGACATGTTCCTCTCTGCTGCAGTACGTACCAGCAGTTCGTTGGAGTCTACGCCAGCAAAGGACGTGAAAAGAACAACGACACTGGATCCCGTTGGAAGGTCACACGGTTGGCTGAACATAAAAAAAGAGTAATCAATTATAACCATGGACCCTATATTATCATAATAAATTATTTTTTTATGAACATAGACGTCTTACACCAAATTATAATGGAATATGTACCTTTGTGGTCTAACTGTTGTCGGAAGAACAAGACGAAAATATGTCCTTGCACGGTCAAATTTCTTTTCGAATGCTGGACACGCAACAATGACGTCGCTGAAATTTTCTCCACTTTTGTAAGACGCGAAAGATGCTATCTTAAATCCAAGTTGGTTCATTTCCTTCTTTGCGTCTGCAAAACACGTTGGTCCCGTGTTGGTTGCCGTTGTGCCACACCACGCAAAATCCGGATCTGCCTCCATTTCGTGTTGCGACCGGAACTGGAATTGCGGGGCTTTCACGAGGACTGTATCGCCACCATTTTTGGTGAAGTTAGCTAGAGTTTCATTCCAGTTATCACGAGAGAGATGGTCACTGAACCATGCCGCTGTGATGGGATATCTCTGAGCAGCACAAACTGATAAAACATACAACAGGGTCCCCCAAGACAACATTGTTTTAGAGCCAGGTTTCAACGAGGCGTTCAACTAGACTAACAATGAACTAGTCCGATTGTGAATTTTCATAAGGGTCAAGGTTGTTGCATATCTATAAGATAAGAACAATACAGTTTCGATTTCGATAAAGCTTGTATATAGACAATATGTTTGTGCATTTTAAGATACTCAGAAACGTTAAGTTTCATTGATTTGACCCCTAGTACCACTGGTGATTCCTAAATGGTCGAACGGACCATGTGGTGCAGTAAAATGTAACTTGGTGTGGTGCAGAAAAACGTTACTTTGTGTGGTGTTGTAAAACGTTTACTTTGTGTGGTGCAGTAAAGTGTTTACTTTGTGTGGTGCAGTAAAATGTTTACTTTGTGTGATGCAGTAAAACGTTTACTTTGTGTGGTGCAGTAAAACGTTAACGTTGTGTGATGCAGTAAAATATTTACTTTGTGTGGTGCAGTAAAATATTTACTTTGTGTGGTGCAGTAAAACGTTAACTTTGTGTGATGCAGTAAAATGTTTACTTCATGTGATGCAATAAAACGTTTACTTTGTGTGGTGCAGTAAAATATTTACTTTGTGTGGTGCAGTAAAATGTTTAATTTGTGTGATGCAATAAAACGTTTACTTTGTGTGGTGCCGTAAAATATTTACTTTGTGTGGTACTTTTAAATATTTACTTTGTGTAGTGCAGTAAAATGTTTACTTCATGTGATGCAATAAAACGTTTACTTTGTGTGGTGCCGTAAAATATTTACTTTGTGTGGTGCAGTAAAATATTTACTTTGTGTGGTACAGTAAAATATTTACTTTGTGTGGTGCAGTAAAATGTTTATTTTGTGTGGTGCAGTAAAATATTTACTTTGTGTGGTACATTTAAATATTTACTTTGTGTGGTGCAGTAAAATATTTACTTTGTGTGGTGCAGTAAAATGTTTACTTTGTGTGGTGCAGTAAAATATTTACTTTGTGTGGTGCAGTAAAATATTTACTTTGTGTGGTGCAGTAAAATATTTACTTTGTGTGGTGCAGTAAAATATTTACTTTGTGTGGTGCAGTAAAATGTTTACTTTGTGTGGTGCAGTAAAATGTTTAATTTGTGTGATGCAGTAAAACGTTTACCTTGTGTGGTGCAGTAAAATATTTACTTTGCGTGGTGCAGTAAAATGTTTAATTTGTTTGGACAAATATATTTTCATAGACGCTTTCATACTTCGTATATCTTGTAAACTGATACCGTTAGTAGTCACTACCTGTATTCAGACACCACTTACGAGAAGTCTATAAAGTGTCTCACTGTAAGTGATCTCATAATACAGGTTTAGGTAAAATGACATGAACGAAGATTTTTTCAGTAAAAAGTGCATTTTAAAAACACGTGGTTCCCACACGAGTCGGTCTCTCGAATAGGATTGACTGTTGTACGAGTATCTTTTCCTTATTTAAAAAAATCGCTTTTCCAAATACCTTACTATGTATAAGAAAACACATACTTAGAAATTGAAATTCGATTTCACTGAAAGCCGGATGAAATATAGAATTCAAAAGCGGTACCTCACTCTATCTATTAATTAGTATTTTCATATCGTTAATCTTCAAAGAGTGCAGCTCGTTCTAATTAGGACTCTAATTCAAAAACATACTTTATCACAGATCTGATTTCAGAAAAAGACATATTGTAATTACTTCATTAAAACCAACATCCTCTCACATCATTTATCATTCTGCGATATGCTGGCACCTGCTACTAAGCTTTTGAAAAAATGTTTAAAAAAAAAGGTATTCCCTCTTTCTTATACGTAGCTTCAAAGAATCTAGAGTGGGGTTCGATCAAATTATCAAATACAACTCTATCGCAACGGAAAAAAAGCTTTTTAAAAAGCTGACCTAAATGATAAACATTGGAAGGCCTGACCTTTGAAGTTTTCTAAGCAGTCTTTGATCTTTGTAAAGTTATGTAATGCAACGCGCGTAAATAGTCTGAAAATAATCTTAAACGCTTATTTCTTTCTTTCCTCTGTTGTAACCTACGAGCCTCTCATACTCATAGAGCTATCATGGTCAATTCCCATTCAAGAGAATGTTTTCAGGATTGAGGAGTCCTTGCTTGATGTGTTCACTTTAATATATATCGGTGGTAATGATACCAGTATTGTTATTTTGATGGTAAATGCTTAGATATGACATCAAATTAGAGGAGTAATAGTGTATTCAATGTCTGGAGTAAAATGAGAAGTAAGTTCGAAACATTCATATTATTCCTGGACGAATCATATCTGAGTAAGAAATTGAGGGGCCAGCTGAGTATCTTATCATTTTTCTTTAATAGCCGTTGTCGTCGTATATGTGCTTCCAAGACGGTGATGCAAAACCTTATCTTAATCCACCTTCACAGAGTTTGTCAGTTAAACTTTGTTACCGATGTTTTGCCATTTAAACCGAAACCTTAGAGAATAGAAAAGAAAATATCAAACTTACATAAAACTTGAAAGGGATGATGATGATGATGATGATGATGATGATGTTGATGATCGCCAAAATCCCTCTTTGGTCTCTTGTTTAGCTTACAAAGTGGATTTACGCTACCACTGGTGGTATATTCATTAGCCTTTCCACCAAATAGTTTTGTTTTAAACACCGTTTTAAGAAAACACGATGACTTCAAATTAAACATATCAGAAGAAGTGCAGAAACGACGTACGTCAACGAAATTTTAGACGATTTTGAAGGGGTAAATTATAGACACATTCAAATGTTGATTTCTGTTCCTTATAACGTGATAATAGATAAGTATATATATAATTGTAGTTCAGTATTTATAAAAGATATATATTATGTTGCAATTGGCACATCATCTAGTAGAGATAACTACAAGTTTCATGGCCTGTGATATAGTGTACTATTTTTAGCTCACCTGGCCAGATGGGCCAAGTGAGCTTATGTCATGGTGCGGCGTCCGTCCGTCCGTCCGTCCGGCGTCCGGCGTCAATATTTTACTTTAAACAACTTCTTATCAATAACCAAAAGGCCGAGGGTACTGATATTGGGCCTGAAGCATGCTGTGATGAAGGGCTACCAAGTTTGTTCAAATAAATGACATTGACCCACTTTCAAGGTCAAAGGGGTCAAATGTCTTAAAATCTTCAAACAACTTCTTCTCAATAACCGAAAAGCCCAGGGTACTGATATTGGGCTTGTAGCATGCTGGGATGAAGGGCTACCAAGGTTGTTCAAATAAATGACATTGACCCACTTTCAAGGTCAAAGGGGTCAAATTTCTAAAATTCTTCAAACAACTTCTAAATAACCGAAAGGCCCAGTGTACTGATATTGGGCCTGTAGCATGCTGGGATGAAGGACTACCAAGTTTGTTCACATGAATGACATTGACCAACTTTCAAGGTCACAGGGGTCAAATGTCTTAAAATCTTTAAACGACCTATTCTCAATAGCCAAAAGGCCCAGGATACTGAAATTGGGCCTGTAGCATGCTGGGATGAAGGACTACCAAGTTTGTTCAAATGAATGACCTAGACCCACTTTCAACCTAATGTTCTTGTTGTACATTCAAGGTCACAGGCGTCATATGTTCAAATGTTTTAATAGGTTCTTATGAGTCAAACACTGATATTCTGCCTGTAGATGATTTATTTAGTCCAGTTTTCAGATTACAAGTGTAAGATTAATACCAGTTGAGCGATGCAGGTCCATTGGGCCTCTTGTTAAAAACAAATTTCCTTCATTCAGAATATTCCCTGAAATGAACTATCAATGATAGTCTTTGTCAAGAATCAATAAACATTTCGGATAAAAGATCAGGATTTTAAAATGTTAAAATTGTACCAATTGTGGTAGCGTGGCATTACGTTTACCGTCTCTGGGATGACGAATACACGCTCAAACGAAAGGAAGCGTTCTAGTTGTGACACAAAAAGCAGATAAATAATTAAAACAGCCTTGTAAAGATCAACAATTCAAATGGAATAAAATGTCAGAACAGTCAAGCGATTATTTCGCATTCTATTAAATAATTGTAGCGGCGACCTGTTTCTGGCAACGTCTTAATCTTCCTGTCAGATTTAGACATGGTGTGTGCATGTGCGTAATGCAGTTACAAATATACCAAATATACTTTTAGAACTATATTGGCATGCTTTTTGCTATCATGTTAAATTAGGTTTTATTATTTATTTTTCTTTCACAAGAGTTTTATAAAATGCAATGATTCATCCGAATGTTCTATTATTGGCCTAGTATTGACATTTTACACGTTCAGTTGTCACGTTGATATGATGCGATGAAGACGACAACACAGTGTGATTTACTGTTTTGAGGATGTATCGATTCCACATCCAGCTCACAGTCAGATCATTAACATGCACGATCCGTGCACGACATGGAGCCGAATGTCTCTTGCCATTGCAGAACTCATGTACTTTATGTGACATGTCTCTTATCATTTAAAGAAAAAGTCATGATCAGAATATATATTCGCTTATCTGAACTAGTTTGGCACTGCATTCTGATGCATGCGTTGATCATAAAATTAAAACAGACATTGCATCGGATAAGAACCATCATCGAGTTTCGACATTGAGAAATGCCATGTTAAACAGAAAGTCAATCATTTCTACACAGAGACATTCCTTGCTAGACAGGAAGTAGACAATTTCTACACAGAGACATGCCTGTTAAACAGGGAGTCCATCATTTCTAGACAGAGACATTCCTTGCAAGACAGGAAGTAGACAATTTCTACACAGAGACATGCCTGTTAAACAAGAAGTCGATCATTTCTAGACAGAGGCATTCCTTGCAAGACAGTAAGTAGACAATTTCTACACAGAGACATGCCTGTTAAACAGGAAGTCCATCATTTCTAGACAGAGGCATTCCTTGTAAGACAGTAAGTAGACAATTTCTACACAGAGACATGCCTGTTAAACAGGAAGTCAATCATTTCTACGCAGAGACATGCCTGCCTAGACAGGAAGTCGATTATTTCTACACAGAGACATGCCTGTTAAACAGGAAGTCGATCATTTCTAGACAGAGGCATTCCTTGCAAGACAGGAAGTAGACAATTTCTACACAGAGAAGGGACTCTTAAACAGGAAGTCAATCATTTCTAGACAAAGGCATTCCTTGCAAGACAGGAAGTAGACAATTTCTACACAGAGACATGCCTGTAAAACAGGAAGTCAATCATTTCTACACAGAGACATGCCTGCCTAGACAGGAAGTCGATTATTTCTACACAGAGACATGCCTGTTTAACAGGAAGTCAATCATTTCTAGACAGAGGCATTCCTTGCAAGACAGGAAATAGACAATTTCTACACAGAGACATGCCTGTTAAACAGGAAGTCAATCATTTCTAGACAAAGGCATTCCTTGCAAGACAGGAAGTAGACAATTTCTACTCAGAGACATGCCTGTTAAACAGGAAGTCAATCATTTCTACACAGAGACATGCCTGCCTAGACAGGAAGTCGATTATTTCTACACAGAGACATGCCTGTTTAACAGGAAGTCAATCATTTCTAGACAGATGCATTCCTCGCAAGACAGGAAGTAGACAATTTCTACACAGAGACATGCCTGTAAAACAGGAAGTCAATCATTTCTACACAGAGACATGCCTGCCTAGACAGGAAGTCAATTATTTCTACACAGAGACATGCCTGTTAAACAGGAAGTTGATTATTTCTACACAGAGACATGTCTGCTAAACAGGAAGTCGACTGTTTTCATATCTCTCTGTTAATAACAGAGTCACCATCGCTCTGTTGGCAGATATGTTCAGTGCCAACATCATGTCCTTGCCAGCAAACAGCAGTCTTTTAATAGTGGAATATAGATCATACAAGTACACGAAATATTCAGATATGAGTTAAAATAAAATTGTCAACGTTCAACATTAGGCAGATTTCGTTGCTAGTGCTCTATTACTCGATTCTTGGTTTGTCGTTCTGTGGTTGCATATCTACTGTGTTAATAAATCTGATAACCGATACTGCTATTTATTTTTGATACAAACTGACACTTGACATAAAATATGATATTAGGGTAAACTAGAAAATACATGATAAACTATCCTCGTATCATTTTAAGTAATAGCTGCTGTTTTGTGTAATCAGAATGTATTGTAACGTCAACGTCCAGTGTGGTTTGCCTTATTAATCATTATCATGTTATCATACGATTCACAGACATTATATTTAATTTGTTGTCAAAGCAACCAGTGTCAGGTTTAAAGTGTAAGATTAAAATTATTTCTTAATAAATCTTAATATTCTTGCTTTTTATGGAATATTGCCATATGGAGTGTTTATTATATATTTTTGTCGTGGCCATCCATATTAGTAATAAAAAGAATAAAATATTAAGAGAAGACATTTAAACACAGTAATGCTTAGGGGACTTTCGACATATCAGGATGTTGTGTTGATATAAGCTTACATAAGGATACCAATCTCTGATACTTTTGCGAGGGGTAATAGCTTTTAATGTCTTCCTGTATAATAGATTGCCAAGTCGAGGGATTGGTATTTCAGTAGGCTTGGACCTAAATCACCTAATATTATTTGTAATTTACAAAATGGGGTTTACGTAATTCACATTGCACTATATCTTTTCTCGCCTCGCCGAACGGTATCAGGATCCTGGTAGCGTCAGTCGTGTTTGGGTACAGTACACATCTGCTGAAAGGTTTAAAGACAAAAACAATCTGTAATCAAATATGAAACCTAAACAGAAAAATCTAAAGTCTTCTTATTCAGATAGAGTGTCCTTGTTTAAAATTGGTATGTAGCCAAATTTGAAAGGATTCAGATTAATTTAGAACATTTTTATAATGTGTATCTATGTTGTGCCACGTTTGGTTATCATCAAGTACTCAAAACATTGACGTGCTTACAACTTGCGATAAAACTGCGGCAATTTACAAACATATTTCAAAACATTTAAACTATCTTTACGGCGTTTCATTTCATTTTGTTTTTTGATTTTATTCTTTGCCTTGCATTTTCCCCCCAAACCCTAATGTGATACAATGTATTGAAATGTTTTGGCAAAGATGCATTGCAGGTTATCTGTCTGATTTTTTTTTTAATAGTTTTGTTGCATACCCAATTATAAACTTAGTAACTATATGTAATTAAGATAATTTCAGTTTATGTTTTTGTTGGTAATGCATCCAGTGTACTGGTGCACCCGGACAGAAGTGACGTGTTCCGTTCAGTAATGTGCTTGGTCCTATTGCTCAAACGTATCTCTGCTGTCGAACCCCCAAGCTGTAATAGCATGTTTCGGCTTATATGGTGCAATTAGATGGGTAGTTTATAGAGAAATCAGTAATCAAATAAGTTGAATATATTTAATTGGACGTTGAAAAGTTTTCTTTACGAAACTTAGCCTAAGTTTTCTTTACGAAACTTAGCCTAAGTTTTCTTTACGAAACTTTTCATTCGTGTAGCCAATTTCCAATTTATTCACATATGTTCATGAATAAAAACAACAAAACAAAGGTTGACATGTTTGAAGTGTTATCATCAAAAACATGTTTTATTCTTCTCTCTATATTAAAATCCATTTTACCCTTTTTTAAATCAATTAAGAAGATAACCTTATTGTGTTTAACAGTGCTCTACAAAAGTTAAATCTACTTGAACAACTTATCATTTTCACACTATCTTTCTCCATTGGACTAGGCTATTGTTTATATAGGCTAACGGTGTATTATCACTACACTCAACAGTAAACATAGGGCGATAAACAAGCTTAAGTCTATCCACACTTTGTTGTTCTAGTTTATTGTATTACAGCTTATCCGATTGTGTGGGATTTAAATATGTACTGACTTTATAATTTGAAGTTCTTAAGACTCGATACAATCCTTCAAAAAAGCATGCGCGATGAACCCGGGTGATATTGTACCCCAACAGGTCGGGTCACGTCACTTCTCCATTACTTCCGTTGCTAACGAAGCTTCCGTGCTGTACGGTGAAGAGGTGGTGATTTAAGATAGACGGGACATGGATCAAAGTTAAGAGTAAGGATCAACTGTCCAGCACGAGTCCCAGGTGAAAACAGGTATCTGTTTACTTACATAAACAGTTTTGTTTGTATGTATTACCCTACCCTGTAATCACATGTGTATTTAAAAGGGCGGTGTCTTATACCTAGTAGTAGCTATTTGATTGGCTTAAATTGTATTTAATTAAGCATCTTCTCTTATTTATTGTTAATATTTACTACAAATCAATAACACGTAAATAGGATGTGACTTACTTGTATTAATTTAGATTGAACGTTTTAACAGTAATTGCGATTAGTCACGATATTATCTACAAAGCTATATTTTATCGTGTATCCTTTAACTTGTAAACTCACGTGTATTAGGCCCTGACAGTCGTACTTCTTACCTGTGTTGTATAGTTCACACCTGTTGATACAAATTTCTGTATCTCGACTACAATGGTCGTTCAATCTTACATTCAGCTTTTAGATTTGTCACACAATAAAGGCGTTAGTTTGTACAAGCGTTCATTTTGACCAAATATTTGCCGTTAGCGATCGAGATATATATTGTAAAGCTGAAGCTCTATGTTCTCTGTAGTATTATTGATGAACAGTGTATGCATTTATAGATAACGATATGTTACACTGTTGTACCGTTAATATATATAAATTATTAGCAATATGTATTCAGTGATTCGGTAGATGTGAGGTACTTTAAAAGATAAACATCAGAATGCATATGGTACGTGAACAATGATTGTCTCGTCACAAATAAATTATTGCTGTTTATCTTTAATCTTCTGGAGTTATATATTGGTATATATGTAATAAAACATTTAGATCTATATGTTAGGATCAAAGCCTACCCTAATATCCCACTGAACTATACCTCTAAACTTCGCGGATATAATAAGGATTGTAATCGTTTTAATAATAACCCTATACAGCCTTTCCTATTCAAACTGTAGTTCATCGATTGTAACAAAAATATATGCTATACAGATTGGCAAAATGATAGGTAGTACCAACTACAGTCAGGATCCATTAAAACGCATATGCATGATTATCTACATACAAACCGAGTCTTTCCCTGGCAGGTTTAAATAGTTAACACGTCAGGTAAGTTAACAGTATTTTTATATAGTTGTATATAACGCTCTCCCACGTAAACATTTAAGATATACAGCATTGCTTTTTTTTTTATAGTTTTGCTTTACATATTCGATTTTCTAATATGTAAATAACAGTAAAAGAGATGTTGTATTGATGTGTGATATGTAACTGAAATGGTTGACTCAGGTGTATAATTCTTGTCCTGCCTTCGTCTGGTATTGATTATCATACACATTGTATTGATGTATAATTAATGAATGTTAGAAGGATCATATTTAACCACAGTCCGCTGTGAAACCTACATATATACAAAACCAAATGCTCAGGGGAATGGCCAGTAGTTGTTATACGGTAAAATGATGACGATATCAGGATGTTTAAAGTGACATTATAATAGTCTGACGAAATCTTAAAGAGAGTGATCCTATTGTTCATTTACAAACCATTGGCTATAGAAACGATACTCTGAAAATGGTCATTTGTTGTTAATTGTCGGCGTGTGTTTACAGCTCTCGATAGTACTACGTTTGTCCGATATAGAACTCCACATGTATATCTATATAGATTTCGAATTATACCCATATTTTATGTTTTTTTGTTTTGTGCTTATAGTTTTAAGGAAAATACCTTGAGGATCAGCTGTAAATGTAGATGAAGTTTTACTTTTGTCTTATACACAATTAAGGCTTTAAAGAAAAAAAGGATTAAAACATTTCTTTAATATAATTCAACATGTACATGTGGGATTTGATTAAATGAATATTAAATAAACCGTTTAAGGAGAAACAGGCGTATTAGTTAATTCACATGCATATAAACTGATAATTTTAACGTGATTCTTAAATCAATTAAAACTCTTTGTTGTGATGATACTGTAGAAATCCGGGTACTATCATTGCAACTTTGTTGTTATTCTTGTTGTAAAAAGGTTGTTAGAAAGTTAAACTGAAACCCGTCATAAAATGCATTACAAAAATGATTGTCGCCTAACCGGTATTCATGTTAATTAAACACACAGAACACTCCAGTTAGGATAACCCTTTTATTACATTGGTTATCGATTTTGTGACCATCTCGTGTTTCACCCGATCAGGATATTGCCGACCCTGTACTTATTGATATTTCGTAGGACAATTATAGCCCTTTCCTGTCTAAAACTAATATAGAATTTGCTTTTGTGCAAACATTCCCTATTGCTTCTACCAAAAGGACTATGGCAATAACCAGCTACTTCACAGCTAGGTGATTGTGGAACGGCAATACACGGATAATCCTGTTTGTCGTTTTACCGATGTCTAGGTTTTAAACAGATATACCGGTACAGGGATCATAAAATAGGTATTCTTGTGTTTATACAAGATGTTAAAACTACGTCGTATTCTTCGTACAACGCACGTGATTCTTAAGTGAAATGTCATGTTAGCTTACATGTATACGGATGTAGTTCCTCGGCTGTAGTACTTAACAGTGTTAATGCTAGTCGTGTATGACGGTTGAGATTTATAATGTTATTATGGCATTATAAATGTCCTGATATAAATCTACTGAATAGCTTTCTTTTCTATAGACGAATTTTTAAACTTGGACGTCTTTCATATAACATACATGTATAGTAGAATTCAATATAAACCCGCAATTAAAACCAGATGAAATATATTCCCATTCAAAGGAGTCATTATACAAAAAAAGAATGGAGTCTTTTTTTTATATATCATATAGGTAAGTGCAGTAACAGAGAAGTAAAACTGGTTTAGTAGTGGAACACTTATCAAATGATAAGTACAATCAGCTAGCCCGTATGCCATTGAAAACAAATTAATGTGCTTATAGAATTTTCTTTATACTCGTTAGATGCTTGAAATACTGTTTATTATCAAATATTCAATATTTGTTTTATCATTTGCCTCTACCCCAAGATATGATACGTTATTTCCATAATGATTTGAAATTACTAATTTTATTCATCCTACTATACTGGTAAGGATTGCCTTGTTGATGAGTTTATTAGGTTGTTTGGATTAAAGTAAAAAAAACATGGAATGATATCGGCGATGCGAGAACTACTGCCCGTGGGGTAGAACATTGATTTAATTAGCCAGACTTTCGACACATTATCTCCGCTTTTACAAAACGGATATATCACGAATTCAGTTTATCAGTTCAAAAAGTGGTCGATTCAGTTGTTGATTGAAAATTAAATTAGTTGGTCAAGTTTTCATTTACTGACAGTTAAACTTGTTGATGAAATTTTCGTTAATTGGCAGTTAAAGTGGTTGATTAAATTATCGTTAATTGACAGTTAAAATGGTGTTTTTTTTTATTGTTAATTGACCGTTCAAGTAGTCGACTCTTTAATCGTTCAATACGACTAACGTAGAGTGAATGATTATGATTTGGTTAATTGACCGTTAAAGTGTTCGATGAAGTAAATGATTATGATTTGGTTAATTGACAGTTAAATGTTTATAACGTGTATGACATAATACAGTCGCACATATAGATCTTTATAATGATGAGCCATGGACGATAGTGAATTATTTCTATTTAACTTGTTTCGATTGTCAATGATATACTAATTTTGAAGATAAGGTACACACTCAGTATACAGCATGACACTAATCTTAAAGAGCATTGATCGGACATTTAATTTGTGTGTCTCTTAGTCTCTGGTATTTGAGAGTTGTATAATTTAGATTTGTGTTTTTCGCAATTGTATATTTACATTGTGTATTTAAGTTGTGTGTTTCTATGCCATGACATGCAAATGTTGTCATTTAAAATATTTATGAAAATATCATTTAATGTGGTTATTTAAACTTGAAAATCTCTGCACTAGTGAAGCTCGACAGAAATGTATATATCCACAAGCAATATACCTATATATTTTTTCTTGCTTCGTGCTTTACGTTTAATTTACTCGATTGAATATTGGAACCAACAAGGGCCATCACAATAAAAAGAAACTGTACCTGATATTACCTCTGATGTAGATGATTTTGTTGTTTTTACAGTCACGATGGTAGATTACCTGTCTCGGTACCGGCTGTATGGCCACGGCTACACCTCCCCAGAACAACGCTACCCCATCACCACCTACAGAGAAATCTACAGGGACAATGCGCCGCACATCTTTGGGCGAAGACCACGATGTAAGAGAGCCTCTTTTAAATGTTTGAAGGTGGTTGTCATTCCGTCTTTGTTTCCCCGGTTCGCGACATTATAAGTTTTCTTAGCAGCTTAATCATCTTCTCATGTATTGATGTAATAGGACGGCTTTTTTTCTATTGCACTTCAGAATTTAAGACTGGGGCAATGAAAGGCTTTGTGTATGATGTGTAAACATGAAAAAAACATAATTAAGAAAATGGTGTACATGAATCAGTCACTTATTATCGAATGTTAATTGAAGATACTAAATAAAATGGTGTAACTCTAACCGCACGTCTACCACTCTACAGCACACGACTGCCGGATGGAGTCCGTAAAGGATTTGACAGAGAAAAAGGACTGGGAGGCCTGGATGTTTTCCCACGGTCTTGGCCAGGTATACCGAAGTGTCAACTACCTCCATAACCAAGAAAAAGAGCTCACTCCACAGGGCACCACCGCGTAAGTACAATACAACTTAATAAGTTATCACACACGGAAAACCTTATTTTATTTTATGTTCATATTAATAATGTTTGTTACAAGTTGATTCTACTTTATTCAAAAACTGTTGTATATCACCAGTGTGTAATAAGTATAGCCTCTGGTGTTTGATGTATCTCAGTAAACACTTTATACATAGCGGAATCAATGGTCTGTGAGAGCTTGGATTTCAAATCATCAATAACGTTAGGGTGAGATAACTTGTATACCTTGGTTGAACGATTCCTTAAAAGTTTGACGCTTTTGGAAATAACATCTGCGTCGTATTTCAGGCCTGACAAACTTCTCTTCAACATTGGCGTAAAGGGTCGAGGAGACGGTGACTTCTACTATCCTCGTGGCTTATCTGTTACACTAGACGGTGAAGTACTGATCGCCGACACATTGAACCACAGAGTGCAGATCTTTAACCAATTCGGGATCTTCATCAAGAAGATCGGCTCCAAAGGCACTGGTGAAGGACAGTTCAATGAACCCTCGGGCGTTACTGAACTACCGAATGGAGACTTAGCTGTTGCAGATAAGAGAAACAAACGAGTGCAGGTCTTTTCACAAAGAAGACAATTTAAATTTATGTTTCCAACCGGAGATGAACCTTTCTCCATCGCAAGTGATAAAGACTACAACATAATTGTTTCTACCATCCGGAGATCAATAGAGGTGTACAGGCGGGGTGGGAAGCTGGTCCATGCTTTCTCTGTAGGGGGATCAGCTCGGGACAAAATCGGGTGTCACGTTTGTGTCAACAATAAGGAAGAGGTGATCGTAAGTGATGCAGTCAACAACTCGGTCAAGTACTTTACATACGGTGGCAAACTTCTGTACAAGTTTAATCCAATGTCTACAGGAGATGGCTTGTCAATGTTACCGTCTGGTATCTGTGTTAATATGGCCGGTGAGGTGATCGTCGGGGATGCCCTTAATCACACAGTGAACTTATACTCTGAACGCGGGGTCCTACTGAAACAACTCATTGGACCTTCTGATGAGGCTGGTGCGGTTCAGACTTGCGCAATTGGACCGGAAGGACATTTAATGGTGACGGAATTTAGTGTTTCCGGTCCACATTCATTGAAAATATTTCGATACAAACAATGCTATTGTCACCTTACCAGACCAGGTTCGAGCAAGAGGAGATCTCCGACTAAAATGGAGTGATCTTTTCAATTCCCATCTGTCATGGCCTTTCTTACTATGATATATCTGGTTTCTGTGCCCATACACTAATTACGACGTCGGCCAGCTGTATTGAGCACATGCTACATTAACCATTAAGAAATAGATAATATATGTTTTTATGATAGAAGGAACCATATTTGGAATACATAACAGTATTAAAGAAGAACAATATTTTTTTTGTATGAACTTTGTTTTAAAGTTGTCGAACAGCAGGGTGCTGGTAGAATTGGATTCAAATCATAACTTATGTATCCCTAGGAACTAGAACACTGTTAATGGCATGGAACCTGATTACGTTCATTTGTGTTTAACATGAATGTGAAATGAATAAGATACGTGCAAACCTGTGCAGGTATGGGTATAGGGATATCCACTGTTATCATTTTAAAATATCAATATAATTCTTCTCTCAATTTATTTCAGCAAAATTACAATACTTTGTACCACAGATATTAATTTGATATTGATATCCATAATTGCAATATTTCATTATCTGCATAATCTCGCTTTCCTTTCACAGTTTAGAGATAACATACCCAATATGTAATTGATTTAGATTTAATATGTGGTACCGATCAACGCTGTCGGGGATTTGTTATTATAGGGGATGTGTGGAACTGGATTTTACAAGATTTAGTTCAGTATTGTTAATTTAGAGAAAGTGCTTGCCATTTAAAACATTAGCATATGCCTACCTAAACTTCAATATAGACATGTTTGTAAATCAGACTGAAATTTATAGTCTTTAAAAACTGTTATATGATATAAAAGGGTCACATGTAATCATCGGTTTTTGAACGGAATTGGTATTTTTCCTTAATTTGACAGCTTTCTGAACGTGAATATTTGTTATCAAATGACAGTTTTTTGATATCAAAAGTTAATACTAGTATATACATATAAGAATATGAACGTGATAGACATGCACGTGATTACACCTATAACATTTGGTAATAGATACGCCATGCCATAAATGAATTCCACTTCACCATACAGCTGAGTTGTCTTAGGACTCATCGCTGATGTTAGTGGCCAAACAGGTAGAAATCTAAATTGGACTTAACTACTGTTGAAACAGATTGGCAGGTGCTTTATTTTCCGAAATTATATGAATTTCAAAATTAAGAGATGTACAGGTTAATTTCAAGTTTATAATGAGAATAGTAAGTGGTGTATATTATTAACCATATTCCTACATACATACCATGTTTGACAGGCGGAAAATTAAGTGCACTTGGTTAAAAGCTGCTACGTGTCGTCATCATTTTTTCTGTAAGTAACTAAATAGAGCATAACCTTTTCTTTCCCTGGTGTTCTTCATCTTTTTTGCGTTTTGATTGAATGTGATTTTAGCTCTGCTTGTATAGACAAATATTGACTAGGTTGGGATTGTTGTCGTCTGTCAAGAGGCCTCAATGTCGCGATTTGGCAGGAAGTAAAGGATTCAGAATATTCAATCTAAGAATTTTGTGGTATTGAATATTATCTATGAACTGTCAGAAATAACAATGATGTCGTATTTTGCATCTACTCTGCCAAAATATTTTCTAGGTTGAAGGTTTTGGATACTGTAGTATGTCTTATGCCATGGGAGATAATTATTTTGGTTAAGTAGTAGCAAAATAATAATAATAAAAAAACACCATACTGAATATGTTACTTAGACAGTATTTATACTAAAGGGTCATACATTATGCATAACTGTATTCGTTTTCTTAAACTCTGGCATTTTCATCTTTTAATTATTGTCATTTATTATTTATCAAAAATAAAGATGTTTTGTTTATATGGGAATATCATCCTCTATACTCCATGGGTTACGCTCACTAACGCTCTTTGCGTCCCTGGAATATGCCTTTGCAAAATTGAAGGCATTCGGATAGCTTTTTAATTGGTCAAAGGCAAAAAAAAAAACCTGACCAATCGCTAGGCTAATATCTTCCCTTTGAAGATTACGGAGGAGCGACGCTCGAATTTAAAGTCAGTCAGTTTTAACGTTACGCTGTCGCAGGGTTGTTTTGGTGAACCTAACCTCTGTTTTATCGAGGATGATGGGGGTATATATGTGCATTCTCATTTTGTTGATTTATAAGCTCATACGATAAAAATGAAGTTATTATAAACATGCCTACATAATGGCGCTGTTATAAACCTATCTGTTGACATTCTGTTATCTTTATTAGAACGAGAGTAAAACAAAAGATTTGTTTACAAAAATGAATAAAGGACTTAAAAGATGACATTTTTTATATTTTATTCATACACTGGATCACTAAAATAAAAAAAATAAAACAATACCGTCCAAACCGAGGTTTGTTCATGAAATCATAATATATGAGCATCGCTGAAGTATATAATGACTGCATGTACACACCGAAGGACATACTCCTTTTATAAGATATAAGACGTGTAGTATCCTCCAGTACTCAAATTAAAAACATCAGATAAACTTCACAATACAAAAAAGAAAGCTACAAATGATACGGAGGATAAAACGAACCGACTATTTACACAGAAGCTGATACAATCAGTGAACTGTATACTCTTTGAAGATGACCAATGATCTATGTGAGTGACTGCACTTGTATATTTATTTAAATACATTACAATACATGAAAATAAACTCCCTAACTCCATTGTTTTTATTCAAATAGTAAGTTGCTTATTTACCATACAGTTGTTATTTGATTTTCAACGAATGCTAGTTTTCCTGTTTTAACCATATCACATCCTAGCCATTCACCATGACCATGCTCGAACCTTAAGTAAGACAGAATCATCAACAGTCAGTGGTTATTGTTGTGTGCTACCGTAACATACCGTCATATATGTATCTATAGGTAATGTATAGACCACGTACATAGAAAACGTCCTCATAAAAACTTACGGTAGGATGATGTGGTAGATGAACGTAATTGCAACTTTAAAAATTTGGTAGATACAGTAAGCCAAAAATGAACCACACTGCATCATACAGCTTATTCCACTGTATCATACAGCTTAGTTACCTGTATCATACAGCTTATTGCACTGTATCATACAGCTTATTCCACTGTATCATACATCTTATTTCCCTGTATCATACAGCGTATTCCCCTGCATCATACAGCTTATTTCCCTGTATCATACAGCTTATTCCACTGTATCATACATCTTATTTACCTGTATCATACAGTGTATTCCACTTCATCATACAGCTTATTTACCTGTATCATACAGTTTATTCCACCGTATCATACAGCTTATTACACTGTATAATACATCTTATTTACCTGTATCATACAGTGTATTCCACTTCATCATACAGCTTATTTACCTGTATCATACATCTTATTCCACTGTATCATACAGCTTATTTACTTGTATCATACAGCTTATTCCACTGTATCATACATCTTATTTCCCTGTATCATACAGCGTATTCCACTGCATCATACCGCTTATTCCACTGCATCATACTGCTTATTTCACTGCATCATACAGCTTATTCCACTGCATCATACAGCTTATCCCACTGTATCATACAGCTTATTTACCTGTATTATACAGCTTATTCCACTGTATCATACAGCTTATTAACCTGTATCATACAGCTTATTCCACTGTATCATACAGCCTATTCCACTGTATCATACAACTTATTTACCTGTATCATACAGCGTATTCCACTGCATCATACAGCGTATTCCACTGCATCATACAGCGTATTCCACTGCATCATACAGATTATTTACCTGTATCATACATCTTATTTACCTGTATCATACAGTGTATTCCACTTCATCATACAGCTTATTTACCTGTATCATACATCTTATTCCACTGTATCATACAGCTTATTTACCTGCATCATACCGCTTATTCCACTGCATCATACAGCTTATTCCCCTGTATCATACAGATTATTCCACTGCATTATACAGCTTATTCCACTGCATCATACAGCTTATTTCACTGTATCATACAGCTTATTCCACTGCATTATACAGCTTATTCCACTGCATCATACAGCTTATTTCACTGTATCATACAGCTTATTCCACTGCATTATACAGCTTATTCCACTGCATCATACAGCTTATCCCACTGTATCATACAGCTTATTCCACTGTATCATACAACTTATTCCACTGTATCATACAGCTTATTCCACCGCATTATACAGCTTATTCCACTGCATCATACAGCTTATCCCACTGTATCATACAGCTTATTCCACTGTATCATACAGGTTATTTACCTGTATCATACAGCTTATTCCACTGTATCATACAGGTTATTTACCTGTATCATACAGCTTATTCCACTGTATCATACATCTTATTTATCTGTATCATACAGCTTATTCCACTGCATCATACAGCTTATCCCACTGTATCATACAGCTTATTCCACTGTATCATACAGCTTAGTTACCTGTATCATACAGCTTATTGCACTGTATCATACAGCTTATTCCACTGTATCATACATCTTATTTCCCTGTATCATACAGCGTATTCCACTGCATCATACCGCTTATTCCACTGCATCATACAGCTTATTCCACTTTATCATACAGCTTATTTACCTGTATCATACAGCATATTTACCTGTATCATACAGCTTATTCCACTGTATCATACAGGTTATTTACCTGTATCATACAGCTTATTCCACTGCATCATACAGCTTATCCCACTGTATCATACAGCTTATTCCACTGTATCATACAGTTTATTCCACTGTATCATACATCTTATTTACCTGTATCATACAGTGTATTCCACTGCATCATACAGCTTATTTACCTGTATCATACATCTTATTTACCTGTATCATACATCTTATTTACCTGTATCATACAGTGTATTCCACTTCATCATACAGCTTATTTACCTGTATCATACAGCTTATTCCACTGTATCATACAGCTTATTCCACTGCATTATACAGCTTATTCCACTGCATCATACAGCTTATTCCACCGCATCATACAGCTTATTCCACTGCATCATACAGCTTATTCCACTGTATCATACAGCTTATTCCACTGCATCATACAGCTTATTCGTCCGTCTTTGATTTATCTGTGATGCTGAGGAGAAAACACTTAGAAAACTCATTAGGTCTAAACTAATGTTGAAACATAAGCTGAGGCGCGAAGTAAATTTTAATTTTATTAATTTTAAAAGTTAGAGTAGAACTAGTTAACTTCCAATATAAAAATAGTTTAAGTGAGTACAAATGTTCAGGGACTAAGAAACTATAAAACTATTAGACTTTCGTCATAATTACTGAGGTCATGATGTTTTTGGATACACAAATCGGTATTTTTCTTTGTTCTACACTTGTTAGCCTATCTTCCCACCATGAACGTTTATTGATATTTAGATAAGGCTGCTGTTCGATGAAGGTACAAGTACATTAATCAATGTAACTATATATAAGAAAGAGATGATCAATGTGCTGACAACGCCGTCTCTATATTCCATAACCTCATACCCGTCATTTGTTAATTCGATATACAGCCAAAACCATTTGTAGATAGCTGTCGACGGTGCTTAATTTTTTCACAGATACCATCTTGCTTTAAAACAGATTTCTGATATTGGGGGTCACTCACCCACAAACTTTACCACTATCTTTGTCGCTTGATTGGACATTAATTATTTTTCTGACATTGATTGGACTAGATAACCATCCTCTTTCCAGTATCGATTAAATGCGTTTTTGTGGGCACCGTTCAATAAAAGTCTTCTACAGATTACAATGCAGACACTTGTTGACAGCGTTGGACATCTGTTGACATTATAGAACAATTCCATGCAGGATTAATGCCAAGCAATGACAGTCGTAGCTTCTTTAAAACATTACTATAATACTTATTCTGATCTTGTTTTTGTGATGCAGTATGCGAAACATGAATTACACAAAAAATAAAATCGTTTGAATGACACGCGTATTGGTTTGTTGTCGTGATATGACGGACGCGTTAATACATTTACAGAGGTTACCTCCCTTCTGCTGCGTTAAAAAGCACAGCACACATTCTACCAAGAGAGTTCGGTTTGAAATACAACCCGAGACTGAACATAAATAACAAGTGTTTAGCCTAATGTTTAGCCCTAGATATCCAATCGTCATTATCAGCTTGATGACATCTTCATGAGTACAATGCATTGGAATGCAAATGCTGCTCCATTCAAAAACACAAAGTTTTGTCTCATTGGTCCCTGTTCGTAATTACGCCGTAAATACGTTTTTTGTCTCTTTGGTCCCTGTTCTTGATTTCCATTTTTGGTATCTCCCGAATTCCTGATCTAGTGTTTCTTTTTGTTTTAGTATGTCATCGGTTCCTGTTGTTGTCTTTCCTTTGTTTAGATGTCTCTTTGGTTCGTGTTGTTGATTTTCGTTTCCTTTTCTCGGTTCGTGTTGTTGTCTCTCCATTTGTTTGGTGTCCCCCATGACCTTGTTGTTTCGTTTCTACGTTCTGCTTTCGGCCGAATTAATGCCGCTGTGTCGCTGTAGTTTATATATTATTTCCCTTTCTGACTTGTAACAGTAGGTCTCCACGTATCAAGTTATCACCCACCTAATGATAACATGCCGGTATGTGTTTAGTGTATGCCGTACAGCCACTTATGCCGATCTCTTTCCCCTTTTTTACTGCTAATACTGGAATTACTGCTTTGGAAATGTTAAAAATTAAAAAGAAATATGCAATTCTAATATTGCAAAAGGATTCCATTATTCTACCGGGTCATTTTTATATTTGATAAGAAAGAGCAATCGAGAATTAATCTTAATAAACAATATCTATACAATATTTATTTTCAATTAGGAATTTTCCAAACTGTTTAATATCAGTATTATGATATATGTATATTTTGAAATATCTGTTGTGTACGGCAGTATTGTTACCATAGCGTGTTCCTATTCTTTCTGTCGACTCCACGACAGTGAGTTATATATTAGGACAAAAAACATATGCATCTATACTGCATGCCATTTAATATTGGATTTAGGCGTATAGGGCAATTTCTACCTTATTTGACCTGCGAGCATTACAGACGTCATGACGTACTCTGTGCGAGCCCTATATACACTTTGTAATGATATCACGAAATATCATTGTGTAGGTGTAAGGTAAGTAATGATCTATACTGAATGAGCAATACACACATATTAATTACATAACATCTCAAGTGAATTACTGCTGTATGTATACTATACTATTATTCAGCAAAAAATATAAATGTAAATGATTAAATTATAATTACGCAGTCTGTGTTATTTTGAACATGTTTTCATTTTATAATACACAGTATACATAAACTCAGCTAGGATGTCCAGTGGTAATGAACTAGTGGAAATGAAACGCTGGTAAAATATTCCAACTTGTTCCAGACATCGTTAATAAAAACGACCGTTAAACAACAAAATGTGTTAATTATTATTGTCATTAATTTCCATAGCAACAATAATTTACTTACATCAAACAAGCAGCTGACTTACGTGATCGAGCGTCTTTAACAACACATACTATACTTTTTCAATCTGAAGCGGACAAACACTAGTTTTATCAAGGATCACAGATATGAACAATATCTAAGTTAGGACTGCAGAGTGTAAAACCCCTGACGTCAAACTTTAATCTTCGGTTACACCAGGGGCCTAAAGCTCCCTGTTGTACAGTCTAACAGACATGTTGGAAAGTCTTGGTCAAGTTACGCCAGAAAACAACAACAGATAACTACGTTCCTAGTTCGACGAAACCGACCCAGTTCAGAAACAGTGCCAAACGCTCAAAATACACAAATCTTTCTCGTTTCTTAAGGTACATCAGAACATATTTAAATGCCTAGAGTTAATGGAATGTCGTTCCTTTGGATTTAAAGGTAATCACGTTATATTCTGCAAAGTTTTGATTATTTAAGTTTAATATTTCATTACACTTAGGTATATAACAATCCCAAAATACACGTGTAATGTAAACTATTTAAACATTTAATTTGATCTTTAGAGGTTTTTTCTTCAATAGTAATGCGATCTTCATAACATAATTCAATTTTGATTGGAAAACCTGCTTAAACATGACAAAGAAAAAAATAGCAATTAACATATATTATTACCTTGAATATCTTGTATCTAGTTTAGGGTTGCCTTTACAATTCGTATTTCTTAATGGGAAACAATTTTCTTGATCCGGTACGTTTTTTATCAGTTGTATTATGGCCAGCTGATAGTCCCCGTCATCAATGGGATAAGGTTACTCGCCATTCATTTTCAATTACATGCCTATTTCACAAATGGATTTTGAGTACAAAAATATCCTTTTTCATTAAATGTTGATTATTTCGTTTGCGACAGGGGTTTTGAACTCCACTAAAACCTTTTTTTTGAAAGGATATGGACTTATGATTGATAGACTGATCATGTAACCATGAAAGGCCCTGGCAGTATATCACGTGGACTACTGTGACATGTCTGGACTGGCGAGAAGGTTTATCATAACTACTCTAAAACATTATTTCATCGAGACTTTTTCAACTGGGAATGTAACGTTAAACAGAGAGAATAATAGTTTTGAAGTTTTACGGAAGACGAATATATCGATCGGCATGTTTACAAGCAAATCTTATATGACGTTAGTTTCTGAGATATATTTCACGATCGCTACTTAAATGATAAGCAAATGTAAACATATTTCATGATACATTAATGAAATAATACAGCAATGTCCCGTCCATATACTTTACGAAATTTCTCAACGCCATTAGTGGTACAGCAAAGTAAACACGGTAGTCAGCCAGCAACGACTTATTTGATTGCTAAAGTACAATCATATATTTACAATATCCTTGCACAAGAAACATCAAATTTTAGATCTTAACAAAAGCATAACATATTTGTTCTGTTGCTCAAGTCATATACCAATTATTGTTGCAATTGTCTTCAAAATACACTTTACTGTTATGTTAAAGGAATGCTGGTTCCTACATTGGGGCGCTAAAACGAAAATATGCGTAATCGATCATATACACACGGTAAAGTTTAATTACGCGTAAAAATCTGCACAAAGAAACCTCAGAGGGAAAAATACAACTACATCTGGAAAGGGGTAACGGCAAGCACAAGGTCGTCGCTACCACGCCATGTGTCATGATCACCTACAAGCAAGGACCATTGACAGTCGGAACACCCGTCCGGTACACGACGTCAAAATTCGACACCGCAGGATCTGATAGGACATAATTTACCCAAGTTTTCACTTAACGGCTTGATCGTAAACAATCAACAACGTTTATTGGCGAGGTGAATAATTATAGACGGAGTGTAAAACAATCCTGTACGCTACGCCAGTGACGTACGTCGAAGGTGTAGATACCTGTGAGTGAAAGTATTAACAATGCTTTATAATAATGTAATCAGTTGGTGATAAGTGCAATCAGTGTTTAAGAGCGCACTGACCGGTATTACTTCAGTTCCAAGATAAGCCCGACATGTATCAACACACTTGAACTAGGCGCAGACACCGGTAAGTACCTGACTTGGATCTATAAACATGGATGTAAGCAAACTTTGTTCTAGGATTTAGTTCATCAAATAAGCATAAATTGAACTGAAATATACCAGCAATATGAGATTTGAAAAAAGACCATGGAGTTATTCGGAATAAGATTTATCAGTTTGGTAACATCTGGCTACAAATTGACGACAGTTCCTTTACAAAGGAAATATTAAGGATTTTCCACTAGCAAAACATTACTGAAGTTGACGAAAACTTGCTTAAATTTAGTTTTTCTTTACTTGATTTATGCTGGTCTATGGGGGTAAGAAAGTAATCTAAAGATCATTTGTTAAACGGGCACCTGTTTTTGATAGTTTGTTTAGAACCAAATGGACAGCTTATCGATCTGAGCGAAATTTCAATAATGACTTGTAGGAATGTATTTCGTCAAGTTGGATAATGTACTAGTATGTATGTTACCTTAAACATGTTCTTATTGTTGAATGATCACTGGTATTGATATAGAAACAAGGAATAATTTTTACCGTATCGTTGCCAATGACGAGTAAAACAGCGCTAAGACTGTCTTGTCCATTCGATTATGACATCATAACCTTATTAAGAAGGTGTGGTATCTTTGGAAATTATGGTTCTCTGATTAGCCAGAATAATGTGAAAAGGTTCAAATGTGATATGTATCACACTAGGGAAATAAGTGATTATATTTTCACCATTATATTTTTACTAGTTACAATGTAATTAATGTTTATACCACTGAGTTGTTGCTAGTTAGTTCAAGTTCTATTTAGAGGTCAAATGCCTATTTTACTTCTTTCTACATTTTGATTATGGCTGTGTATTGCTACAATACATGTGTTTACAGTTCGAAATGTACATTTGTTTATAATCAAAATATGGTTTGAGATTTACTAGTAAACAGGAACACCTGGACTTTGTATCAGGGTGTTATATGTTTATTTCTCAGAGTTTCTATCCCTTTCCCTTAAATCACTTACAAACTTTCACTGATCTTTTATTATTGACATTAATTGAGAGAAAGAGAAATATCACATCAATGTTATGATCAGGGATAAGTGTCAGTGGTGTGCTACTGCTGTTAATTGTTGCTGTCATTGTCATATTTTCAGACAGTACAGAGGAAATCCTGTACCCATACCTTCCACGTCTGTCGGACCAAAGTTTTAAAACAAGTTCATTTTGTGTCAGGATACACACATCTGAAAGGCATAACAATGACCTCCGAAACAACACTTGCGTGTAACGTGTAATCGCTGATGATAAGTGATAATATTGTTCCACCTGAAGAACGATTTAGGTTTATAAGGTCAAAGCTCTCCCGATATCTTCTATGGAGGCAATTGGTCGTAAAATTGTTTTTTCGCGTGGTAGTGGTCAGTGTTAATACACAGTAAAGTGGGGTGTATTGAAAGTAGGACAACTACAACAGGGGACGAGTGTATTATACAGATCTTTAACGTGAAACAGTCACGGACGATTGTATATCAAAGTATACAGTACTTGAGAATGATTACGATTCACGGAGGAACGATCACAGACAGAATGCAGTGATATAATCACCAATCTGGAAACATACGAGTGATAAATATAAAAGGCTTTACTGTTGCACGTGCATTGTTCAAGGCTTTATTGGTGCACATGCATTGTTCGCTTATATCAGATTAATATGGAACATGTTTTCAAACGTGCTGAACACGCATGAAACAAAGATTTGGGACTAGTATTTGACGAAAATAAAGAAGCAATCCTATTGTGAAAAAACTTTTTATTGCAAACCTGTTTTTATATACTTATTGTGGTAAAATGGCGAAACCAAAAGCCCAGCTGGGACTGGACACGGAGTATGACGCACTAAGACGACGGATGAGTCGTATACGAGTCAAGGAGGGTCAAAAACCGACAGCAGATGGTAAGATTACTATTAGAAACTCGATGTATCAACCATTTAGAGATATGGATTTTAATCTGGTTTAAAAACTCATAATTTTATTATGGCAGCCTAAGCCTGCAGCATCCTTATTTTTGTATATTTATACCTCATATGTGCAATCTACAATTTAAGAAAAAACCTTCATATGCCTCAATATTTACTATAAACTACATACTTTGACACTGTCATTCAGTATAATCGCTGACTATATGTCTATCCTATTATTTTTATCTAGGTTACTTTCAAGTTACCACAATTCTTTTGCCTTGAGATTGCTGAAGAGTTTTATTCTATATAGTGACTAGCGAGAAAAATAGATCAAAAGTCAATTGACTAAAGAGAAAACAACCTCAGGGACGTACAAACAATGCCAAGTTCAAAAGGCAGATATAATAACTCAATTAGGACGTGTGTCAAGGACAGAGTTTAAAATTGTAAAATAAAGTATAATATTTTATTTCGTGAACATTATTTGCAGCAGACCCTTTTGTTTTGATTATTAACCAACATTTGTAAATCGCCCTGCATAATCTCTAGGGAACTTCTCTGTGGCGTTTATATATATTCAACGGATGGCAAAACTTATAATAAAAAACAGCCAGGCGAATATAAGAGCAGCCTTTCTTTTGCACATGTTATCACGTTATCACATTTTGTACCTCCATATGTGTGAGAGTGTGTGTGCTGGTGGTGTTCGTATTGTTTTGTGTACGTCTTTCCAACGGTTCATTAACATTTTATAATTACTATTAACACTTGAAACCAATAGAGTAGCAAATAAAGGCAAAGCGTCTTGCTCAAGGAAATGAATACCTCCCATCGTTTAGCAGGAACCGAGCACACGACATTGCGATCTTTATGCCGACCCACTCCTAACTATGCTATGCTGCTGCCCCAAATCTTTGGCCGACACACTCCTAACTATGCTGCTGCCCAAAATCTCTGGCCGACACACTCCTAACTATGCTATGCTGCTGCCCCAAATCTCTGGCCGACACACTCCTAACTATGCTATGCGTCTGCCTCAAATCTCTGGCCGACACACTCCTAACTATGCTGCTGCCCCAAATCTCTGGCCGATACACTCCTAACTACGCTGCTGCCCCAAATCTCTGGCCGACACACTCCTAACTATGCTGCTGCCCCAAACCTCTGGCCGATACACTCCTAACTACGCTGCTGCCCCAAATCTCTGGCCGACACACTCCTAACTATGCTATGCTGCTGCCCCAAATCTCTGGTGTCAGATTAGTCCGTACTTGAAGGCCTCAATTATGCGATAAGTAAAATGAGCAAAATAATCCTCAGTGTCAAAACAAAAATACTAAACTAGACTTAAATGTCGATACCAACAAACAACAACAGCTATATCGGGTGTAGATGGTACGTGAATCCCATAAAAACATGAATTAATCGACTGTATATAAATAGTTATGTCAGGGAGTATTCATTTTTTTTTTTTTAATTCGGGTACTTAGTAATATTCCTGACTTAATAGCAAAACAAACATTGTATTACACTTTATTGAAACTGTTTCTACTGGCAAGATATATCAAAATAGTAGATATTCATAAAGCACCGATTGCCCCCTTAAAGAGTTTTTTTTAATAATCTGAACAACCTCACAACTCTCAACAATATAAAAAAGACTGTGTAAGTCATAGTGTTTCTTATTTTTTTCTAAAGAAATTCAATACGCAGTGCCTAGGTAAAGTATAGCAAATAGAAAGCCTCGTGTTCGTACCTGTTATAACGACAGGTATGAAGGTAAGTACATTGTACCCTACATTGTATCCTAAGATCAGCGTTTATTTTGTTGCTCACATAACTAGCCAAGCATGCTCACTATCTTCAAACGTGTTAACTCTATCAGATAAAGACGATGCATTTCCCATGTTACGCTAGTACCCAAACATTGACTTTTAAAATTGAGTAATGTCGGTATTTATGCTCTTTCTAAAATTCTGTTTATTAGCTATAGTTGGTCGAACACATATCTACATGAACGCAGTACGTGCCAATCAAAAAGATTGCCTATCGGTATGCTGTTTTGTTTACATCCCAACCCAAACAATTATGATGTGACGTAGATAGGCAAGTGTTGTTTTCTTTCAAGTGAAAACAAACGTGATTTAAATACAAGAAAAGATTCATAAAAATTAAAAAAACGAAATCAATAAGTTCTGAGTTTATTTGTCTTTTTGAAGGTTTTATAATCAGTATTAAAATGTAAAATAACAAGACCTAAAAATAAAAATTAAATCTTAATCAAAATATAGAATATTAAAAAGCCAGATACAAAAAAAAGAACATGTTTTGGGAGTCAGGATTGTTATTTTTTAAATATTGTTTCATCTGATGGCATAATGGTTTCAAATATCATTCTAACCTTTTGTTGGTATATATTTTAAACTATATTATTAACTGCGTATGGCAATTTATCAACGCCAGATCTGGATTGTCTAAATTTCGTTAAAAGTGCACCACCTATTGTCAATAGAACGTCATCAACACAAATTACGTTCCCCACTAAATACGTTAGTAAAGTTCTTTTGAATTTAACACGAAAGGTCAATTTGGAGATGATGTGACGTCACTTTTGACAGGTACGTAATCGCCTTGGATCAAATACTTTGTATGTTTTACTTTGATCGTGAGTTCAGTTTTATCGGTCCTGTTTTTTATTTAATTCAGTTGGGATAAGATACCTTGTAAGGTTTTTATATCTACATATATAGTATATAAAGTAAGTAAATACAATCTACTCAGAGTAACAAGTGATATCGATAACATCAGGCAACTACAAATAATGCTGTAAACAAACCACTTCTTCAACCATTATTTTCCTGAAAATTGAAAGAGCTTTTCTGATCAGCGACAATACCAAAACATTTTACCTTAACTAGAGCTTTCCTAGCCAGGGACAATATGTTTAAACCTAACCAGAACTTTCATGATCAGGGACAATATGTTTAAACCTACCCAGTACTTTTCTGATCAGGGACAATATGTTTAAATCTATCCAGTACTTTTCTGATCAGGGACAATGCGTTTTAACCTATCCAGTTCTTTTCTGATCAGGTACAATACGTTTTAACCTATGCAGTTCTTTTCTGATCAGGGACAATACGTTTTAACCTATCAAAAACTTTTCTGATCAGGTACAATACGTTTTAACCTAACAAGAACTTTTCTGATCATGGAAAATACGTTTTACCCTAACAAGAACTTTTCTGATCAGGTACAAAAGATTTAAACCTTACGAGAACTTTTCTGATCATGGAAAATACGTTTTAACCTAACAAGAACTTTTCTGATCAGGTACAAAATATTTAAACCTTACGAGAACTTTTCTGATCAGGGACAATATGTTAAAACCTTTGAATGCATCACAACACCAGACACAAAAACTTTGGGCGATATTATATTCTTCTTCTCACATGATAAAATATCACATTATTTTTCTTCTATTGTTTAAAATTTCATTTATACGGTTATCTTTAAACGTTTGAACGAAAACAATATCATTGATTTCACTACCGAATATTTATTGCTACGATCTCAATTGCAAGATGAATTTGGCAATAGGCAAGGATTCCAGAGCCCGCTTCTTACAATGATAACCTTATTGTACACATATCATATTTTATTAATGAAAGATAACTATAAAACTTAATTATCATAAAACTGGTCATACACGAACCACGTTGTGGGTGGCACCTACACATTATCCATTCACCTACTCTATTCCGTGAGATGGGACTATTCCAGACTGATTACCATATGTGACAGTATTTATACCAATCCAATAAAATTGTCCTGTAAGGTCCCATGATAGATGTGGCCTCTAAAAGACAAGTTTTTTTTCTAAATAGAGGTATGGCCTCTAAAAGACATGTGTTTTCTAAATAAAGGTTTATGTCAAATAGATTTAACTGCAGTATATTGTATTGAATATTATGATATTGTTTTATTGTATTGTATTGTTTTGTATCGTAATTAATTTTTGATGAAGAAATCAAATAAATTATCAAACTATTTATTGCACCAATGTGTTGCAGTATTGTGGCATTGATTGGTTTAAAGCAAAGAAAATCATTACTTTGATATTCAATTATATAAACCAGTATAACCAGTCTTTTCATGAGAATAAAAGCAATGTCAGTGCGAAGCTTGTCGTAGTAATAAAGAACAAATAGTTGGATGAAACATGAACATTTTACAAAATATAATGTGCCCTGTCTTAATCAAACACTACATACTCCTAACGGTTGTATAACAGACTTGTCATTCCAAACACAACCATTGGTCTTTCCGTTGATTTTAATCAATGAGCTGCCATCTATTTTAAATTATATCACCTCATGTTTATCAGTGTGTATGAATGGTGTCTGTGGGCAACCCTAGAGTTTATGATTAGTTATACTGTGTCGACAACTAAATTGAAAGTGAAAAGTGCTACGATGTTATTTGCATAGATTAATCGTTTTCTATTCTTTATGTCGAGGTTATTCAGTGCAATGTTTCTTTCTTATATTTTAAGGTACATATCAACTTTATTTCATGTCATGTTTTGACACTTGCAATATTTAGTCTTCATTGCATCAAAGTAGACTAGCACATTTAGACTTTGTATTTCTTTACGAATGTATTGTGAGTGTCGATATTTAGTTACACATATGTGTTTAAGTCCCTAGTTGTAATCTGAGGTCGATTCAGAAACTATGGTTACCACAAGAGTAGCCGAATCAATGTAAATATTTTTTTATTTTTTTACTATTTTAGCTCAGTATTTTCATTTGTAAAATGTGTGTACATAATGAATGTATGTGAAAATGCATATTAATGTTTGCAGTTTTTCCCCATTAGATGAATGGATCAATGCGTTTATTGAATTATTTATATATCACACAGATAGATTATATAAATAAATGAATATAAATAAATGAATATAAATAAATACAAATATATATTATGCTACATTTAGCGTTCTCTACTGACTTCACTTAAATTAAAGTGTCACTTAACTTTCCCAATTCATTTTATTGGAAAAAGATATTCTAGACCTGCGAACAAGTGTGTGTTATTCAACATACACAAATACACAAAAAGGAATACACAAAATGGAATAAACAAAATGGACATCAAAGCACATGACAAAAATAACATGTTCTGTCAAGTGTTGTGTAGTCTATATGATATGATTGTACATCAAATCCGACATGAAATGTGTTTTATGGCCCGCGGAGCATACTGAGACTATAGTTAATCCCCCTCTTGACTCGGACACTGGAGTAAGTTATTCACCTTATAGACAAAATCTTTCATTCTACTTTTGAAGTGCGAGTGAGACTAAAGTTAAATATTTACTTAGCCGAAATACAAATACAGAATCCATTAAAACTTCAAAAACAGTCGATTTGCTAAACGCATGGGACATTTTAATGTTTTATTCACTGGTGCTACTGATATGGTAAATTCATATTCCCTGCCTACGGTAAGTCCGGGTATGAATGGAGATAAGACTGCTATGGTAGCTAGGGCATTTAAACGCTGTTAATAAATTGCATAGTTATCAGCAATTGAATCATGTCAAATTAATATTATCTCGATAGAATCGATTTTCGTGGAGATCGATAATGTTAATGTATCGAAAACACTAACAATGTGATAGGGCTGTAGAAGCATTTTGGAACAGGATCTAAGACTACTCCCTATATCCTAGTTTGAGAAATTAAGTTTACAGCGGTCATAATAAACGCTGAACGTGAAATAGTCCATCACACTACATAATCCCCCTTAATTCTTGATATTTCGTACCGAATTTGAGACTGTGGTATAGTTAGTTCTTGCCTGTTGAGACTGTGGTATATTTTGTTCTTGCCTGTTGTGACTGTGGTATATTTTGTTCTTGGCTGTTGAGACTGTGGTATATTTTGTTTTTGCTTGTTGAGACTGTGCTATATTTTGTTCTTGCATGTTGAGACTGTGGTATATTTTGTTTTTGCTTGTTGAGACTGTGCTATATTTTGTTTTTGCCTTTTCAGACTGCGTTATATTTTGTTCTTGCCTGTTGAGAATGTGGTATATTTTGTTCTTGCCTGTGCAGACTGTTGTTTATTTTGTTCTTGCCTTTTCAGACTGCGTTATATTTTGTTCTTGCCTGTTGAAACTGTGTTATATTTTATTCTTGCCTGTTCAGACTGTTGTTTATTTTGTTTTTGCCTTTTCAGACTGTGTTATATTTGTTCTTGCCTGTTGAGACTGTGCTATATTTTGTTTTTGCCTGTTGAGACTGTGGTATATTTTTTTCTTGCCTGTTGAGACTGTGGTATATTTTATTCTTGCCTGTTGAGACTGCGTTATATTTTGTTTTTGCCTTTTCAGGCTGTGTTATATTTTGTTCTTGCCTGTTCAGACTGTGGTATATTCTGTTCTTGCCTGTTGAGACTGTGCTTTATTTTGTTCTTGCCTGTTGAGACTCTGGTATATTTTGTTCTTGCCTGTTGTGACTGTGGTATATTTTGTTCTTGCCTGCTGAGACTGAGGTATATTTTATTCTTGCCTGTTGAGACTGCGTTATATTTTGTTTTTGCCTTTTCAGGCTGTGTTATATTTTGTTCTTGCCTGTTCAGACTGTGGTGTATTATGTTCTTGCCTGTTGAGACTGTGCTATATTTTGTTTTTGCCTTTTCAGACTGCGTTATATTTTGTTCTTGCCTGTTGAAACTGTGTTATATTTTGTTTTTGCCCTTTCAGACTGTGTTATATTTTGTTCTTGCATGTTGAGACTGTGGTATATTTTGTTCCTGCCTGTTGAGACTGTGGTATATTTTGTTATTGCATGTTGAGACTGTGGTATATTTTGTTCCTGCCTGTTGAGACTGTGGTATATTTTGTTATTGCCTGTTGAGACTGTGGTATATTTTATTCTTGCCTGTTGAGACTGTGTTATATCTTGTTTTTGCCTTTTCAGACTGTGTTATATTTGTTCTTGCCTGTTGAGACTGTGATATATTTTGTTCTTGCCTGTTGAGACCGTGTTATATTTTGTTCTTGCCTGTTGTGACTGTGGTATATTTTGTTCTTGCCGGTTGAGACTGTGGTATATTTTGTTCCTGCCTGTTGAGACTGTGGTATATTTTATTCTTGCCTGTTGGGACTGTGTTATATTTTGTTTTTGCCCTTTCAGACTGTGTTATATTTTGTTCTTGCATGTTGAGACTGTGGTATATTTTGTTTTTGCCTTTTGAGACTGTGTTATATTTTGTTCTTGCATGTTGAGACTGTGGTATATTTTGTTCCTGCCTGTTGAGACTGTGGTATATTTTGTTTTTGCTTGTTGAGACTGTGCTATATTTTGTTTTTGCCTGTTGAGACTGTGGTATATTTTGTTATTGCCTGTTCAGACTGTTGTTTATTTTGTTCTTGCCTTTTCAGACTGCGTTATATTTTGTTCTTGCCTGTTGAGAATGTGGTATATTTTGTTCTTGCCTGTTGAAACTGTGTTATATTTTATTCTTGCCTGTTCAGACTGTTGTTTATTTTGCTCTTGCCTTTTCAGACTGTGTTATATTTTGTTCTTGCCTGTTGTGACTGTGGTATATTTTGTTCTTGCCTGTCCAGACTGTTGTTTATTTTGTTCTTGCCTTTTCAGACTGTGTTATATTTGTTCTTGCCTGTTGAGACTGTGCTTTATTTTGTTCTTGCCTGTTGAGACTTTGTTATATTTTATGGTTGCCTGTTGAGTCTGTGTTCTATTCTGTTTTTGCCTTTTCAGACTGTGTTATATTTTGTTCTTGCATGTTGAGACTGTGGTATATTTTGTTTTTGCCTGTTGAGACTGTGTTATATTTTATTCTTGCCTGTTCAGACTGTTGTTTATTTTGCTCTTGCCTTTTCAGACTGTGTTATATTTTTTTCTTGCCTGTTGAGACTGTGGTATATGTTGTTCTTGCCTGTTGAGACTGTGTTATATTCTGTTTTTGCCTTTTCAGACTGTGTTATATTTTGTTCTTGCATGTTGAGACTGTGGTATATTTTGTTCTGGCCTGTTGAGACTGTGTTATATTTTGTTGTTGCCTGTTGAGACTGTGGTATATTTTGTTCTGGCCTGTTGAGACTGTGTTATATTTTGTTCTTGCCTGTTGAGACTGTGGTATATTTTGTTCTTGCCTGTTGAAACTGTGGTATATTTTGTTCTTGCCTGTTCAGACTGTTGTTTATTTTGTTCTTGCCTTTTCAGACTGTGTTATATTTTGTTCTTGCCTGTTCAGACTGTGGTATATTATGTTCTTGCCTGTTGAGACTGTGCTATATTTTGTTTTTGCCTGTTGAGACTGTGGTATATTTTGTTCTTGCCTGTTGAGACTGTTGTATATTTCATCCTGATATGTCGAAGCTGTGATACATTTTATCCTGATATGTTGACGCTGTGATACATTTTGTCCTGATATGCTGACGCTGTAATACATTTTGTCCTGATATGTTGACGCTGTGATACATTTTGTCCTCATATGCTGACGCTGTGATACATTTTGTCCTGATATGTTGACGCTGTGTTACATTTTATCCTGATATGTTGACGCTGTGATACATTTTTTCCTGATATGTTGACGCTGTGATACATTTTGTCCTCATATGTTGACGCTGTGATACATTTTTTCCTCATATGCTGACGCTGTGATACAGTTTATTCTGATATGCTGACGCTGTGATACATTTTGTCCTGATATGCTGACGCTGTGATACAATTTGTCCTGATATGTTGACGCTGTGATACATTTTGTCCTCATATGCTGACGCTGTGATACATTTTGTCCTGATATGTTGACGCTTTGTTACATTTTATCCTGATATGTTGACGCTGTGATACATTTTATCCTGATATGCTGACGCTGTGATACATTTTGTCCTGATATGCTGACGCTGTGATACATTTTGTCCTCATATGTTGACGCTGTGATACATTTTGTCCTCATATGCTGACGCTGTGATACAGTTTATTCTGATATGCTGACGCTGTGATACATTTTGTCCTGATATGTTGACGCTGTGATACATTTTGTCCTGATATGTTGACCGTGTGATACATTTTGTCCTGATATGTTGACGCTGTGATATATTTTGTCCTGATATGTTGACGCTTTGATACATTTTGTCCTGATATGTTGACGCTGTGATACATTTTATCCTGATATGCTGACGCTGTGATACATTTTGTCCTGATATGCTTACGCTGTGATACATTTTGTCCTGATATGTTGACGCTGTGATATATTTTGTCCCATTTTGTTGACATCGGTACATGTTGTTTTCTTTACGACTATATTCATCATCCATTCCTTTGCATTGTTTCAGATATGGACGTAATAGAGGAGGAGGACGATGAGAATTTTAAAGATCTCATTAAATTTTGGAAGAAACATAATGTTGGATTTGCCAAGGAAATGATGAAGATGGTGGAATCGAATAAAGGTAACTATGATTACCTAAGCCTTATGTTTATGTGTTAATGTTGTCGTTTATATTGCTTTCTATATCGGTGTAAATTAGACAAACTGATCTATGATTTTGAATATGGAAAAAAGATCTTTAAAAGCTTGTACTATCTACATGAGATATTCAAATGATGTTTAATTTATTACCATCTTTATAATTCTTTTTATTTATGCAAAGCAATAAATAGCATTTTTCTCGAATTCTCTTTTGCCTTTTTATTTAAATAATGTTTCATTTGAATTTCAAAAATAGCCAAGAAGACAACAAAAACGAGGGGCAGAAGAAAGTCAATTGAGTTTGAGGACTTAAACCAGACTTCATCTGGAGGGCTAAGCTTACCTGCTCACCTAGTATCAAAACAGGGTAAAATACCAGAGGAGGAAAAAGGCGAGGAGAGCGACGATGTCCCCTCTATAAGGAGACCAAAAAAGATGTTGTCCCAGAAACAACGCAGTTTTACCTCAAGTCGGACAAACTCGAGATCTAACGTGGCAGCCGGAGAGAACGGATCGCCCCGAACGGACGGACAGACGAAAAAGCATGTGTTTCGTAGGGCGGACTCTGAAAACATGGCATCGAAATTGTCATCAAATCCGAAACAAACACGTGAGAGGATAGCGTCCGAATCGAGCAGTACCAGAACGGGTTCAGCCAAAACAGTCAAAAAGAAATAGCAGACGTATATGGATATTTGTGTACTGCTGTCAGAAATGTTATTTGTCGGTGATACAATTGTCTGTGATAAGTGATAACAGTTGCAATAATGCTATGAGTGAAGGCTACTTACTGGGGTTTTCTCCTAGAAGGTTATTGTAAACAAGCACTAGTAATCACTTACTGTAAATAGCAAACCCACCTCCTCTGGTGGTATAACGTTTACAGACTCTTGTGATAATGGCGCAACGTGATCTACTGGTTGGTATACACCTGAGTAAGTTGAATAATACCTTTATACGTGATTCATAATAGTGTTTTTGTTTGAACCATAGTAAAGTAAAATATGAATTGTGAAAACGTTTTACTTTAATGTGTTTTTGTATATAAAAAGAAGAAAAATAATTTTAATTCCATGAGAATCTTGCAACTGTTCGATGGGAGAAAGCTGGGATGTTTGTGAGATGTGTAACGAGATATATCCATGTTTGTTTATCTGATGTGCTGTCAAATACAATTTAAATAAAATCACTTAGTTTTACGTCGTGTCTTTTATTTTTAAGTTAGATGGAAGTAAATTTCTAAAAATCTGAGAAACCGCTTATGTTTATGATCACAATGAGACATACGGAAATCAGTTATTTTTCCCAAACAAGGAGTTTAACATATATAGTGAAACAAAAATCGAACAAAAATGTGTATATATACATATCTTACCAAGAAAGCATGTTGTGTAAGAAAAACTACTTTAAAATAGTTCTGATAATATGTACGTTACGTTTTTATAACAACATCCAAAAGGGCAAAGCATGGACACTAATTCTTTACAATTGATATTATGAACGCCATAAGATACGTTTAATGTTTACTGGGTGTGTTGAGGAAGTGGGCCCCTAAATGGTCAACGTGAAAAACCGCTGTAGAATAAAGAGAAAGGTATTGGAATGGCGTCTGCATATAAAGGAAGGATTTTGCATTCTTCAGTCATATGATCGGGAGGAGAATCCGTAATACACATTAGAGATAGACCATTCCATACGAGTGTCGAAGTAATGCTGGGAGATCACTGACCTGATTACTTTCACAGTGTTTAAGCCTATGTAATAGTTACGTATTAAAGTAATAACATCAGTATAAGCACCCAACCACAAAAACACATTCATGATTGCGCATCAAATAAAGTAATATTTATCTACAACTAATATGGTTATATCAAGCTATGCGATATGGTGGGTACATACCGTATTTATGTTCCCGAAACTTCATTTACATCTCATACATAAATTTGAACACTTTTTCAGTAATATAACATTATTATAAACCTTACACACCTGCAGATCATTATATATTATGATGATAATGACACCCGAATGTCTTCGGTAAATATACCATCTGTCTTCGGTAAATATACCATCTGTCTTCGGTAAATATACAAGCACTTGTGTATTTGGCCTACAGCCCATTGTTTTTAAAATGCCAAGATGCGGCTAACCCATAACTGTTAAAGCTGCAAAACAGGTCCACCAAACCCGAGTATTGCCTTTCAGATACCTTTTTAATTAAAACCTATAATTTTCCATGATTTTATAAAAAAAGTGGACTTAACTATCGTGTATAAGATTTACCTGTGCACAAATAAAATTCAATATAAATTAACTATGAACTCTCCAGAAGCAATCTAGTACAACATTTTCTTTGCGCTGTTTTTATAAAATGGTAGCTTGCCAAATGTGTTTATTCAGTAGATACATGTGTTCAAAAAATAACATGTGGTTTTGTAAAAAAGAGACAATTTGTTATTTTGGTCACCCACTTTACCCCCTCATATCTCGGAATTGACTCCAAGCTGACCTTTATTTCTTGTCATATCATGATGGCATAACCGAAAGGTATGTATATACAAAAAAAATGAAACTTATCGGTGATAGTCACCAGAAGGCCCAAATTGGCAACCCTCCTTGGACCAAATAAATGATTTTTATTAAATCCTTGTTCCAACAAACAGGAAAAAAATCTTTTCCCAAAATTGATTTTGGTAGATTTTTTTCTCAATTTTATTTTATAGATTCACATAAAAAAACTTTTTCGGGTAAAATACCGGGATTTTTTCTGAAGAAGGGTACTTTCCAATTGTTCAAACATATTTTCCACATTGTTTAAACTCAAAATGCATGATATGTATGAGTAGACGCTACATTACATTCCATATATAAACTCGTTTCTTTACGCTAGGCCTTTTAACTTTTGAAAAGCAATGTTCATATTTGTCGAAATTTTCAATTGCAATGGAATAACTATGACAGGTATTTTACTTCGACAATAGGACATTGCAACCGCAATAAAAAGTGAAAATACAAAAAAAACAAGTCTATGGATACTGCAAATGGCACATTATTTTAAAATGTTCTTGATTTAATAGATTTGTTAAAGTTGTGTGTTGTGTGATCAAAGGGAGCCTACTGTAAATAACAAGCAAAAAATAAGTTGTTTTCACATGCGTATTCCAACACTTCCGTGTTATACCTGCTTCTACCTTCGTAGGTATCACCTGAAGAGGGTAAGTTGGAAATTAATTATCTACTGTAACTTCATGTATCTAAACTAATACGACGGTGATATAACTATGTGTATCATTGGTCAAAGCATTACTAAAAAACTAATAATCGTTTTGGGTTTGACCATGATATTAGTATACAGTCTATGCAAAACGGAAGTAGCAAGTGTATTTCTGTAAGTAATATAATATGACAATCTTTTATTTATACGATACACATAAAACGAAATAAGGTAATGAAATCACTAAAAATAATTTAATGAAATGACATTTATTTGGATGTGTGAAAACGAAATTTATTATCTAAAAATCTATATCAAATCAAGATAGACAACTCCTACTGATTCCGATCACTGCATGTATTGAAATATTGTAAACAGTACCACGAAAATGTAATTAAATATATCTATGTAAACAGATGATAATACTTTTATAATAAGGATAAGAACATGATAAGCATGATCTGACACACTCACGTCACCAATAACAATAGTAAGTGTCTGTTTGACAAGTGTTGCCCCTTTTGATGAAAGGTCAAATCACTCTTTAACTACCGTACTTTGGGATATTTTGGATGACCATATATTTTGGTTTAATTTTTGCTTGGAGTCAAAATTTAACACAACAAAATTTCACAATATTGAAATATATCGTTGAAACATCCAGATATCCGCAAGATTATCTTCCAACGCATTTATCATACATCAGCTACACACTTCCGTATTGCATACTTTTTGTACAGGAATAACACACTTCATAAATGATATCCTCTGAATGTGTCACTATTTGTTCAGTGTGTTAATATCCGTTGTGATATTGATTGGGTTGAAGCGTATACAGGTAAGCCACATCGCTATACAGTCATTATAGGGGTAAGCGATCTTACACACCTATGATCTCCTAAGCAGCCAGGTGAAACGTAATACAATAGGTTATATTTTTATGGAATCTGAAAACAATTCCTACCATACTGACATGTGAGAACAAAGGCTTGAGATGATCGAGTCCTGTCATTAAGCATCACAAATACCGTAACACAATGGACTGATTGAGCCACTTTTTAACTATAGGTATCAGAAAGCACCAATATTAAGCACTCAAGATCGTCTAATGCTAAACTCTGGCGCACCAAAATTCAACCAACCAATTTTGAGTAGAAAAAAAATGGCGACCGACGCCAATAATAATTATATCCCCAAAGTACATTATAGGACCATCAACGTTTTGCCATTTGGTGATATTATTAATAAATTTAATTTCTTATCGAAAATAAATAATAACTACAAATAATATCTGAAGAAGTTATATTTAACATGGGATCGTTTGTTTTCCAACAGAAACTGGATGCTGAAAGATACTCCATCAAGAGCAATGTAAGTGTTCTACATAACATAGTTTTGCAGTAGCAGATCATGCCCTTCAGACACATGCATTTTTGAAATGCCGTGGGTTAATGAACTTCTTTGTAGAATACAATTCCAAGACCATGCTGGAGTGCAACGTCTCCTTCAATCTGGTACATCACCAAACCGACAAAATGTTGATGATCCGGTCCCTCTGCTCACAGCCATGGACAACAGTGATTTACACATGGTGAAACTGCTGCTCGATCATGGTCCAACAGTTAACATACAGGACGCTGACGGAGAAAGCCCTCTTCACTACGCCACGCAGGATACGGTCATGGCGGAGGTCATGGAGATACTGCTCCATGCTGGAGCTGATGTTAACTGTTTAAATAAATGGACAAGAACGGCACTGCACTATGTTTGTTACGGCGGTGATCTGGACAAGATGGAATTACTTTTGAATAGTCCAGGAATACGTGTAAAAGTACAAGATGAAGATGGAAACACATGTTTACATTCATTAATGACCTATGATGAAGGCGAAAACGATGATGTTGAGTTCTGGAAGAGAGGTTTAAATATGCTTCTTGAAGCTGGTGTTGATGTAAACATCACCAACAAGAAAGGACAGACAGTCTTACATATGGCAGCGGAACACGAACTTCAGGCGGAGACAATACTATCAATACTTTTAACTAAAGGTAATGGATTTCATTTTGAAGTGCAAGATACCAACGGAAACAACTTTCTACTCTCGTACATCAATCGCCTTGGCAGTGACAGACAACTTTTGTGCAAAATCCTGAAAGAAGAGTGTCAGTCATTTCATTCTATACGTTCTGGATTTATCAAAGATATAATAAATATGGAAGCTGAGAATGGAGAAACACCTTTTCTGAGGTTTTTGTTTGGATCCAGTATTTTTGATTTGGAAATTCTGCAACACTTTGTTCGAGCTGGGGCAGAAGTGAACAAACCGAATAGCTTGGGGAGGACACCACTCCATCGAATACTGATGAAAGAATTGATTGAAAACCGTCTTAATGTATGCAAAATTTTACTGGATGGTGGCGCATACACAAACGCCCAAGACGAATTCGGGTTAACTCCGATATTTTGGGCAAGAACAGCCAAACAAGTAGGCTTGATTTGCGATGCCGGTGCTGATGTGACACTTACAGACAAATTTGGACGCAATCCTTTGATGAATTTAACATTTCCAAGAACTCTTGAGGCTGCAGAAGAGTTAGTTGTCAGAGGATGTAGTGTTAATACTGTCGATATGAACGGAGCCACCCCTCTTCATTATGCAGTATGGATGAATGATTTCGACCTGATAGAAATGCTTGTAACAGTCGGAGGAGATTCTTCGCTTCCTGATGGAGACAATCGCACTCCACTGATGCTAGCCGAGGTGTTAGATCATACAAAAATATGCGAATATTTAGAGAGGCAGAACTTAAATACGTGTAACAAAGAAGGTCAAGGACAAAAAGAACATGTTGAAATTATATATAAAAGAGACAACTCTTTTTCAAGAGAGCATTGGCCCGGAAATCAGCTAACGCTAAACGACAAAGACATTGTCAAAGGTACGAATATCATCGATGCTTTAGAGATGCAGCGATATAATGGTAGTGTGCTGGCAAAACAGCTTCTCACTCGACCCGGCTCTGGAAAGCTCTTTGACAACCCGGAAACTACACATGTTATTGATACCGTTCAACGCTTTGTTACAAAATTATCAGAACGAATATCACAACGTGATCCAAGATTCAAGAACGACATCATTCAAATGGGAAGCATGAGTGAAGGAACTAAAACAGGATATCCGGATGAGTTTGACTTCGCATGCTGTCTCTTGGATATCCTCCCGTATTGTGAAATCGAAAACGACAGAGGGCCAAGCCATGAAGGCTTTGTGCGAATGAAACTGAGAGAAGAATCTCGATTACCAAACCAGATGGGCTCTTTCTTTGACAGAAATGGCTACTTCAAAACATATCATGTTAGGTTGAAACTTTTCGAGCTTGTCTGGGATATTTTACTCGAGAAAGAGATGTGGCAAAACACAGAAATCCTATATGTCGGCGACGACGAGACAGACGGATTCGATCAGATGCCTGTCCTGAATTTTCAAATTCTGTGGAATTGCCGAATCTTTAAAGGTCTCAAAATCAGTATAGATTTTGTGCCTGCCATACGTGTCTACAAAAGTATGGCTGATTTCTCAGAGAAAGACAGTACCAATAATCCACAAGAGGAAAATGCTTTGGAAAATGGACTATTGATGTTGTTACACCCCCCAGAAGAGATTACTCCAAAAACGAGAGATGTTTTTGAAATAGAAGAAGACACGTTTTCGAGAATTGAAGTTTCGCACGACAATGACCTGGACGAACTCGTTAAAAGTCGTCTTCGTGTGTCCTGTGCACCAGTGGAAGTTGCTTTCCTAGATTCTCTACCAAAAGTTACGAGAGAGAGTTACATTCTGGCTAAAATTCTCAAAAATGAATGTCCAAAGGTGAGGTTCGACAAAGATTTCTTTAAAGAACTGTATGATAGAGATCCACTTGAAATTCAACGACATGAAGATTCAAATTTTGAACCAGGAGAATATGATGCATACCTGTCCATAGTGAAGGCATTCAATGAGGCGTCCAACAGTGATGATGAAGAAAACAGCCTGGAAATTGATGTCACATCAAATACAGAACAGAAAGCTGAATCAAAATCACTGAATATTTCAAATCAAACATACTCTTCTGATGACGATTCTGAGTTGCACTTATCATTTGGTTCGTCAGATAATGTTGAAGAGCAGATGGAAGATGCTGGTTGTTCACCAGTGGATTATCTGATGTCAGATGATGCAGATCATGAAGAAGAAGATGAAAGTGCTTACACAGTATTTGAAGCCAATACTCTCATCACAAGTTACATGTTGAAGAATGCACTGTTCCATGTGATTGGAAAACACCCAGAACTTTGTGATCCAGTTTTGGATCAAAGCACAGACGAAGAATGCTGGAAGATCACTTTGGACTTGACAATTCAGATCCTGGAGCATCTGAAGGATGTGAGTGACACTGGCGAGTTCCCAGTGTATTTTCTTCCCCGTCAAAACATTTTTAAATTCGTATACGAATTTTGTCGGACCATGGACCAGGAAGAAATGGGGAGAAGGATTCTCTCTTATGGGAAAAGAAGGAACGTTTTTCTCAATTTGATATTAACACTTTTGAGAGCACCATGAACTTTCCGTTCACAAAATGTACTTAAAGCATTAAAGCTTTAGTATTATGGTATCATGTTGAAATCTAATATAGTAAAATAGGCAAGGTTTTGTTGTCAACGTCAAATCTTCAAGACGGAATAAGTGATGAGCAATTCATACACAATGCAATACTCCGTTTATTGATTTATTATCCTGTTTGAACGCTGGTCATAGGTAATACTCATATGTTTTTATTTTAACCCAACCCCACCTCTATAATTATGATGTTTTGGTATCTATGTTCAGTCAGCTTTGATTGGAGCCTTAACCCACTCCGATAGTTGGATACTGCGAAGAAATTCCAAGACATGATAGTGTAATCATGTACAATTGACTTCCAATAATGATAGAGATATCGTGAATGGCAAAAGCGGACGTTTTTTAATTGCTCATAACCTAACTAGCACAAGTCTTCTCTTTTCTTTCGAGGGACTCAGAAATGCAGCAAAAAGTTAAACATATTTCTTTTTCTGATGCCTTGTAAGTAGGTTCATTTGTCTAGCGATAACCGCTGCACACTTGTGATATCACTAAGCCTTGGTGCATATTTTTTCGTTTCTGTTCTTTTTTCAAATGTTTGATCTATATCATCAGACCTTTTTTTTTGATATTGAGAAAATATTTTTTCCACTTTGTTGGTAACATTATTTTCACAAAAATAGCTATTTGAACACAAAAAAAAGGTTATTCAAGTGGAAATACATATTGTGCTTAGCTTAGTGTCATAAAAAACAAATTCAATGTTATTTTAACATCTATCATTGTCATTTTCCAATAATTGTTACGTCATGTTTATATATATGTAAGAGACACACATCTTTGATTTGTGTAAGGTTAAGGTAATAAGCCACCTTACACACCATACCTGTGATTTTTGTAAGTATTGAGGTTATATGCTAGGAACAAATACGAACTATCTTTGATTTGTGTTATAGTTAAGGTTACATACTACCTGACACATTTTACCTATGATATGTCTTAAAGTTGAAGTTATATGCTACCTTATACATCATACCTGGGATGTGTGTTAGAGTTAATGTATTAAACCACCTTACACACCATACCTGGGATTTGTTAGAATTGAGAGTATATGCTAACGTACACAGACTATCTTTGATGTGTGTTATAGTTAAGGTTATATACTACCCGACACATCATACCTGTGATTTGTGTGTTAGAGTTAAGGTAATAACCCACCTCACAAGCCATACCTGCGATTTTTTAGAGTTGATTTTATATGCTACCTTACAAGCCATACCTGCGATTTTTTAGAGTTGATTTTATGTGCTACCTTACACATCATACCTGCGATTTTTTAGAGTTGATTCTATATGCTGCCGTACATGTCATGTCTGTGATTTGTGTTATAGTTAAGGTAATATGCTTTATTGCACTTTCTACCACAATACGCTGTGTTATTCCACTCTCAGATCATTGTGTAAACACGCTGACTGTAAGATAAATATGAGTTTATATACCACACGTGGTATATGACCTACACGAGTTTTGATTGGTCGAGAAGGCGAACTTTGTCCGGGACAACTTTTTTCCACGCGCTTTTTGCCACAATCTGTTTTGTTTACGTCGTCTGCTGTCAACATTCGACAAATATTGGTGACTTTGTGAGGTTATGCGGAAAAGGGGGTTATTAAGGCAATATTAAAAGAAGATGATACTGCAAAATTGCTGCAGACACTCAATATCGTTTCGACGTCACACCGTCGCGTGTCCAGGTCGTGATACCAAAACAAGATCTGTCACAGTGTCGGAAAATATGTCGTTCTCCCAACGTCCCGTTATCGCTATTTGGACGGTCTGACTATGGCTGAACTGTCACTATAAACGTCCACCATAGAACCGTCACGAAGAAACGTAGGCCTATGGTTTTGGACATCAACAGCGATAAGTTCGTCTTCGTCACTTGGCGGGAGGCAGACTTCGTACGATATGCTTACGCGCATATAGTCCGTGGTTAATTTATATAAATGGTAGCCTACCGCATTACGTCCCTTTATAGTTGGCCGCTAATAAACATTGGCGCTGTCTGTCAACGGTAGTTCCGGTTTGAGCTCGTACGCACCGTTCCAATGCTAACAATCCGAATATTGCGTGGGGGGGAACAAAGCACAGAGGTTAGTTACAAATATTATGCTTAACTGCATAAAGCTATTATATTCAGTGAATTTGGGGTATTTTTAGATTTAAACATGCATATTTGTGTGTATTTTAGTCATTTGTAAAAAAATAAACTGTGATCTGAGCAAGAAAATATTTTGATATCCAAGTTAATAGATATTTATTGAATAATTACTAACTGTTGAATAGAAAATTATATGTACATGTCAAGATGTCTTTAACTGTGTGATTCACAGTTGCTTCTGTAATCATTCATAGACAAATGTAATATCTAAAATCTGCGGAGGGGTCATATTTGATTGAAAGTCAACCTTTATTTATATCCCAATTCTTGCTCAGAACAATTATAAGAAGCTAATGCACTTTTAACAACTGGCAACTGTGATTTTACCTGTACAGTACAGTTCAACCATTCAAGTTCCAGAGGAGTCATCCACTTTTCTTTCCACTTAAACATCTGAACTAAGTACAACTTGTCAAGTGTATACATGTATTTATTGATGTCTAAACTCAGTTCATAACATGTAGTGACGTACAAGAAAATACACATATCAACTTTATGCACACATTTAACATATTTGTCATCAATATAAAATTATCCATTTTGATGAGCTCACTAATTTCTCTAAGAGATATCATAGGTTCTCAAAAGGTAAGACAAGTCACACAAAAGAAAGAGTCCAGGAATCAAATATCCAAAAACATCAATATGAAAAATTGAATAAAAACATAATTAATTTTGATTATAGATATCTTGACTAATTTCCTAAAAGTTATTTGTTGAAATGAAAAAATCTATCATGGATGTTATATATACACTTTTTACACATGTCATAATACACAATAACAATATACATTATAATAACTAAGATGAAATGAGAAATCACACATGATAAGAAATAAGTAATCCATAAGTTATTACATACAAAGTTCTGTGTCCCTCTAATAACATTAAACAAGAGTTTGTCAATATCTGAAACAACCTGAGTTACACATACATTTTAGTCATTTCTGTTTTCTTTTTTTCAATTAAACATTGGACAAAAACTCTTTTTAAAATGTGTCCAGTTCTTCAATATTGATGCTTAACTATTTTCATTTTCAATTTTGACTTCTAAAAGGTATCAAATCAATATTGTGATAACATCATTCTCTTATATGGTCTGCTTCTCAATATATATTTATAACAAAGTATGAAAATACTTTATCAGTTATTTCATTTTTCAAACCTTTGTACATACCTAGTAACTTTAACTCTATAAAAAAAAAAAATACATGTTAGTTTTACCAATAGTTGTTGAAACAGACAATACAACCATCAAGTGTTTTGAAATTTTAACATCCCAAAACCTATTACAAAAATCACACATAAGTCAACATTGTTATAGTTACTTTGCACGGTCTAATGGAATGCAAATGTAAATGTATACATTTACTGATACACAATTAATTTAACATTATATACCTGAGCCATCTAGGACATCAGTAGACCCAACAATGAGCTTTGACTCTAGAGTTCGCAAAGAAATGTCTACTTAGAATGTGTTTGACTAGAGAAAATATTATTTGAAATTACTAAATGTCAACTGAAAATCTGTCCGTTTTAAATATTCAAGTGATTTTTGTTAACAAAATCATTACTGTAGTGTTCTGGTTTCATATCTATACAGTATATTTATATGTACATTTTACACATGATCCTGTAAATGAAGTAATCAAGAAATCTTAAGTACAGGACATTGCAGACAGTATAATTCACTTCAGTAGGAGCTTGTACAAATTTGTCATGGCACAACATATCGTAATTATTCGTTCAGCTAAATGAACTTCAGTAAGTGGTAGCAAAGATTGTAATATCTTGAAGTTCTTGATTTGCTCCATTTTCATTTCAACAATCCTCGGAGCAGCTATTTGTTGACTCCTGTACACTCACCTGACAACTAGATCATACAAATGGTGGCATATTTAGACCTATATATGTAGCAAGTTAATCTCCAAAATTTCTGTAAAATGTTTAGGCAAATTGCTTAAAATGTGTTCTCTTGATGGCCATGGGATAAGTGACTGCATGTGATCAAACATAAAATTAATCCATGTATTAATGATTCGAGAAACTCATAACAGACACACTTAATAAATCTGCAAGAAATTTTTGCCAATGAACATGCTTCAACTTCAAACACAACACTCATCAGTTGGGCGTGGGCTCCTTTTCTTCCCAGGTTTCTCGATTTTTGGGTGGAAACATTTTCTATTTTTTGCAGGTAGTGGAGTTCTTTTTCCCCCTTCCCAGTAGGTCAACTTTTCTGCACCATGCTTACAAAAAGTAGTAAAAAAACCCAGTGAAAATGCATAATTTGGATAACCAGTATGTCTGTGTTCCAGAACTCTCCTTTTAAGACAAGGAACTAATAGTAGTAGATATACATGATGTATCCTCACAGGGAATGTTTTCAGTGTTCTCAAATTCAGAATGATTTTCCTTGGTGTAGTCAGATACCTTGTTTGCATATATTATTTTCAAAATGTAAATTGCGAAGTCTAGAGTTTGAGTTTGAGCCAATAGGAGTATCTGGTCGCATTAGTTTGATTTTTTTAATCCACAATGATCTTGTTTTTTTTTATCAGCACTGTCACCTGATGGAATGCAATGAGGTTTTATAGTTGTACCATCCTCACAAATTTTTCCTGCATAGTTGGAGCACAGTAAACGATATCTTTTTCCTCCCTTGACAATGATAGAATCTGAAATCATATAAAGGGATTTATCATATTTGTTTTTTTACTGGTAATGTTTTAATATTTTTCACAAGAATAGTTTACACATTCAACTTAACTTATGCATGATTTTACTGTGACTGGGATTACAATTGTATGTTTTATCAAATAATAAACAAAAAAAGAGAACCCATTTTAATAAATGTTGTTTACAAATGTAGTCCATAATCTCTTTATCTTGTGACAGTGAATGGTAAACCGTTTTTATTATTGTTATTTCCTAAAAAGACCTTTTTTAACTTACCTGTGTCCCCAACAGTGTTTTCTGTCTATGTGAAACCAGCCCCCTTCCCTAAAAAGGTGCGATCATTCAAAATATACTTATGAAAAATTCCCGAAAAACACTGCCAATATACACAAATATGTAACTTTGTAAGAGGTGAGAAATTGTTGGTTATCGGACGACAATAACATAAAATATGTTTAGTGGGATCATGGGTTAAAGCGTTTTTGTTTTGCTGAAAAAAACGTATCTGGATAGTGTCGTTAACGTTACATTTGCACCTTGATATAAAGACTGGCTTATTTCACAGAATGAACATTTTTAAAATGTGGAAGCTTTCCTCAAAGAATAAGGAAGTTTACCTTTATCGTCCATGTTATCTGCTCGATCATCATGAAATCTTTGAAATTGAATGGCAATCCCGCATTATGATGGTTCTATGTCATCATGTGTCATCAAAACGACATTTATAGATTGACACACTGAAGATGTCAACACCTTCACAACGTAGACGCCGAACCTTGCTTACACCGGAACTACCTTACGCGCGTCAGCAACTTTTGTCACAAGTGTGGTGGTGTTTGAGGCGCGTCAAAGGGACGTAATGCGGTAGGCTGCCATTAATTCAATACTGCTACTCCCAATACTTAAAGTCTTTCATCTATTATATTTTTTCATGAAGTCGTTGCCGAAACATTAATTTTGACAATTATTACATTTGTAAAAAAAAAAAGCCATTTTTTTAATATTAATGAGTGACTTTTTTACCTATGGGTCATATCACTACCTCAGCCTTGTCAACAAACACATGTGCGTATGTTATTTCCGACTGATCATAAGATTGTGGTAGAAACAGATCACACGACTCGTGGTTGTGGAGTATGGTATTTATTTCACTCTTGTTAGTTAATTTTCAAAAGTTACAGAAAGACACTCGCTAAAGCTCGTGTCTTTTGTAACTTTGAAAACTAACCAACTCGAGTGAAACAAATACCATATTCAACAACCGCTCGTTGTGTAACCTCTATTTATACCTGTGACATGTGTTTGACTTAGTGTTAAATGCTACCTTACACACACTGTGTATTTGTTAGATTGTTGTAACTTGATAGAGGACTACACACAAATGAACGAAACATTTCACAGATTAAAGAGCATTGCTTCGATTGAAATCGTAATAGAACGTGTATATAATTACCTCGCTAGATACAGGTATTGACATCCCACCAGTAAACAACAGTTAACCTAAAGCTATATAATACACCTACTTTGCTACATGTCTCTCTCTCCTGTGTTGACCTTCGAATGAACCGAGATCATCTTCCATTACTTACGATGTAACTTCTATGTAACGTTTGTTTCGTATTAAATTTAGCATGAACGTGAAAATATATGTCGTCCAAATACGGCAATACCAATGATACACAGTAAAAACTTATAATAATCTAACCTTTTAACAATGTTCTACCAATGCACATAAAGTATTATTACCTTTTTATTTATCTGTTCTATTGCTTGTCATCGACCTTAAACATAAATATCTAAAAATACCGATGGTACTAAGTGTATTGTGGTTTCCTATTATATTTAGTGTGATTGTTTTAAGCACAAACAAAATATCTATTGTTTTCAAACGTACATCGTATTAATATACACAAAATACAGCATCAACAATTTAATGCTTGACCAACACTGGTACATTTCTTATTTACAAAACATGTAAGTAAGACAAAGGTTAGAACGGAAATAATCCAGAACGTGTCGATCAATGCCAAGACGGACATTTCAAGAGCAATTGATATTATCTTATTGCTTGGGACAGGAAAATTACATTTTAATTCAAAACTATAACCAACTGCCTTAGGATGCCATTATTTCATTATTGGCTCGACTATCCAATAACTGATCAGCGGATAGTGACATTGCGTATTATCATTGGTATACATGGCAGACCACGGGTAGGGACCTCTCTAACCACAAGGAAAGTCGGGACACTTACATGTATGTACTCAACTATCGTTAGCCGTAACGAAAACCTTTATTTTTTCGTTTATGATATATATTTGAACAATGATTGAAAAATAACTTTAACATTTTTAATCTGTGGTTTGTGTTAGCGATATGGGTTTTTTCTACCTAACACGTTATAATCTGTGATCTGTTTTAGTGATAAGATATTAAGCTATCATACACATAATACATGTGATATGTGTTTGGGTAATATATTTCCTTACACGTTATAATCTGTGATTTGGGTTAGAGGTAAGTGATTCCACTTTAAACATAATACATGTGATATGTGTAAAAGTTAAGGTGATGTATAACCCTACACGTTATAATCTGTGATTTGTGTTAATGGTAACATATTAAGCTATCATACACATAATACATGTGATATGTGTTTGGGTAATATATTACCTTACACGTTATAATCTGTGATTTGTGTTAGAGGTAAGTGATTCCACTTTACACATAATACATGTGATATGTGTAAAAGTTAAGGTGATGTATTACCCTACACGTTATAATCTGTGATTTGTGTAAGTGTCAGGGTATTGGGCTACCTTTCACGTCATACTTGTGATATGTGTAATGGTTAAGGTGATACATTATCTTACACATTATAATCTGTGAATTGTGTTAGAGCTAGGTAATACGCTACCATTCACATTATACATGTGATATGTGTTAGAGTAAAGGTTTTGTGCTATTCATTCGATCAGAGGATAGCGACATTGTGTATTATCATTGGAATCCATGACATTCCTCGGGTAGGAACCTCTCCAACCACAAGGGAGGAAGGGACACTTACATACAATACTTATATATTTAAAATCAGTTTAAAATAAAAAGAAGATTTCTAAAATACATAGCAGTTCTTTTACTTATAGTTGTATTGGCTAATAAGTGATGGTCATTTACTCATCTAATGGAATAAAACTTGCTTTTGAACAAATCATCTCTTGTTTGCGTTTTTAACTTTTGCAGAGATACAATACAATTCAAATATTTTTACTTTCATTCAGTACACTTTTTTACATATCGTACCTATTTAATTACTAAACATTCTGTTACACTGGGGTTCTGAACCTGATATATTTTGTAATATTTACTTGGTTAAATCATGTTTCATAACTGAACTAAAGTTGGGGCGCAAAAAGAGTGAATATAGAATGAAAACACCTTCCATATTATCTTGTTTTGACAATAATGACACGGACATAACCAGGAACCGGATGTTCCAAACCTGGCCCACTGAACGAACAGTTTACATAAATGTGCAAAAGACTTTTTCTTAGAAGTATCTGAAAAATAACAAATATTTCTTATTCCTTTATTACCTTTATTTTTTGAATCCTTACCAAATAAACAACTCTTAATTCTCTTAACTAACCAGACATTGAAGAACTGGGCCAATAAATGTACATATACATAACAGAAAATTATAAAAGTAAAAAATAAAAATGATTAAACTTAGTGTTTGAAAAATTATTGATATATAATATTAAAAAAAATGCAGATTGTTATACTATTGGACGGTTCTGGGTGTGTAATGCTATAGTCAACGATAGAAAACGAAGAAACGAATTCATATTTGTTTGATAATAAATTGGTCATTATTACTCTGATCACTCCTATATGCTGGGAATATCCTTTCGGGACTAAATATCACACTGGTTATCACTTTGCATGGTATATCTATCAGGATTTTTTCTTTGATTTCCTTTTCTTCGAATCTGATATTGAGAGTTTGTGAAGTTCTGACGTCAGTTCCTGTTCCTCGACAGTTTTTCGGGCACGCCGAACAGATTTAGTGGCCACTGGATTTCCTATCCAATGAAGGTCCTCCAGAGATGATACGGCTGACGAGGATGACGTGTCACTGCTATCCAGATTCCCACGTCCTTGTCTTGGACTGTCCATTCTACCTCTGACAGAAGTCAGAGACCCTGAGGTGGGGCGATGTAAATTCCGTCTCGCCATCAAACTTTTAGCCATATTTGGAGCTGTCTGTAACTTTCCAGTCTTTGTGTTCATATCGAGGTCCTCAAATTCATGTGACATTCGACGTCCTCTTCTTTTCGCATGAGCCATTCCTAAAATTAAAAGGAGACGTTGGCATTGCCTGGACAAAGTGACCTAGCTATATTAACTGTAACATTATAATTCGTACATTAAGGCTACATAAACTATGGACGCTAAAACACAATGAAACGCAATATATATTTATGTGTGCGTTATTTCGAAGAGACATATCGGCAAAATGAAAATGTGTTCGATTGAATTTGAAAAATTGTTGTTATTCAACTTTAATAGATGCGATTTCTAACCTTTTTCACTAGAACATGTAATATATGTCGACAAAAACAAGTCTTAATGTCTGACTGAACATCTTAAAATCTGTTTAACCGACTTAGTTACTATAAATAGGCGAAGATTTAATATTCTTTTAGTATTTGCATTTTGACAATAATGTTTAAATTGAGTTACAATGTAGTTCCCCATTTATTTTAGTTTTTGTCAGCATAATTTTTATTGTTTTTTCCCTGTGTAAATTTGATAAAGACCACTATCTTTATTATTTAATCATGATCAGTTTTATCAGTGTCTGTTTTTGTTCTGTTGTAATAAACAATACTATTTGTGTCATGTAGAGTATCATAGGAGTGTTAAAGCAAATGTCGGAATTCTAGAGTTACGCTTACTAACATTCTCTGCACCCCTGGAATATGTCATGACAAAATCTAAGGCTCTCGAAGTAGACGAGTTTGATCATTTGATTGGAATAAAACAAAACTGCACGTCCACGTAACGGAAGAACTGTCAAACTTTAAAGCCGGGTGTTGCTTTTCAGTAAAGAACGGTTATAAGCCTAGCGATTGGTCGGTAGTTTATACCCGAAACATATTAAATAGCTAACCGTGTGCCTTTGATTGTGTCCTGACATATCACAGGGGTGCCGAGAACTGTAGAGAGCGTGACCCCTAGAATTTCGAGCATGTAAGCATTGCTGAGGACTACAAATGTCGTTTGTATAAGTCTTATCATTAATTTGTTACACGAATATGTTGTACCAGGTCACGATCTGTTTTATTAGTATCTGTTTACTTTAATTGTCATGTTTTTCATTAAACCATTACTATTTTCGTATTGACTTACGACTGTAAAATCTTTAACCATAAGGAGGTAACGATGTATGATGTTATCACATTGCGTTTTGGGAGGTAGTTTAGGCTCTACTGCATAAAGTACATGTTATCGTATTGATCAACGTTACTGTATAAACAGGTGACAGGTGAATGTTGTTCAAATGAATGTAAGCTTTAATTCGGCTGCAACCTTAGTGCAAACTGTTCCTTATTATTCATGTATGAAATAATGTTTTGAGTTTTTTCATTACTGTTGGTGTTTACGGCCATTGGCGTCTATACCGACAGAAAATCCATAACAGTTTTATAAATTCATTTTTATCAATTCAAATAACGCTTACTTCACTTAGCTTTAAACAGTTATTTTAAGATATAAAATGATTGTTTAAACCTCGAGGATTATAATTTATAAACGCCTCAGTAATCGGTCGTACTACGTCCACGCAATATAAATAAACTATGAATAGAGTGACAATTTAAGGTTCAAAATGGCGGTCCAGTTCAAGAGTTACCTGTAGTGCTGGTCGTAAATACTGATAAAGAAACAGAAGAGGTTTGGAGACAAACGTTAAATCAGATAAACTTAATTTATCGCTTAGAAAACAAACACTGAGTCAAGTGGGGAACAGATATGCCTTCACATAGTCAATGTCTTGTTGTCGAGATCCTTCATGTGACGTCATCAGATCCGTAAACACGCAGAATTCCTCACTGATATTTCTGACTCTAGGGGAGTGCTACATCTATCTTATCTATATCACTGACCTATCTGTGCCACATATTGTGCCAACCCTGATCTCTTAAGCAGGTGTTTTATCCCTCCGCTGATAGGTAACCGGGCACTCTTTAAAACATTTTGATAAAACGTCTTCATTTAACTTTAATCAGATAATAACAAAACGTTACCGGGAAAATCCGTGTCTGTTTGGTGACCTGTGTACAGCTCAGTAGCATGTTTATAACCGTCTGTATTGTTGACCTTCAGTTTCAAATAGGATTTTGAATATTTTCATATAACTGCATAAACACTTTTAGATTTCTTCATAAACGAAAACAGATTGAGTTAACGCTGTATTTACTAAAGCATTTTATAACGAAAAGTTGTTTTTTTAACAAAAATGAAATGATTATGTTTATAAGCTTTGATTTAAAATGTTATATATCATTGATAAATTTATGTTTTATTACCGAGTATACGAAGACATTATAAATCTGGCACTAAAGGGTTAGTGCTGATGTATCCACATTCATCACTGGCATGGGAAGAGGGAAGTAATTGTGCTGTCAGTGTTGACGAAAGAATAAAGTATACTTGCCTGCTTGAGCCAGGCTCGAATTAGATCTATTTCCGAGACTCGGTGACCCCCGAGGACTCTCCGATAGGGTGACAGGCCATGGCTCCGTGGGCAGATGGCGAAGTTCCTCCTCCTCCTCTCCAATATCTGCATTGTTTCCCTTCTTAGCTTTCTCTGTCAAAACAACAGTTTTAATTAATATCAACGAGTTTATGACAAAATGTCATATGTGTGACATTTGCTAACTAGCACTACCAGTCAGAGTACCATCAAGAGGTTACTTTACAATAACCGAATACAACATGATCGGTTTCTAGTCAAGGACAAAGAATAAATTACAAATGGTACGAAAAAAGGGAATGCCTTTTCGAAAGTTCTTTTCTTCTTGGATATGATCCGATAGATTTATTCATGAAGTTTCAGAAAGGAGGTACTAGTTAATGAAGTATTAAATAGTTTAAAAGGTTAGTTGCTTCTTTAAAAACCCATCAACGTTATGATACTTTGGCCCGTTTGTTCCATATAGGTCCGCCCTAGATACTCTTGAATGGTGTACTTATCTCAGTGCTTCATAAACCCTACGATCAGGGCCCTTTTCTTCCTTATCGAAAATTTGACGTTTTACCCAACTTATATTAAGAAATACCGTACTTCAACATTAATTCTACTCGTATAAGAGGTGATTTAAAAACAAAAACAAACAAAAAAAGAAAAATATTGAAAGATATCAGACATTTTTATATTTTTATTTTGCGTTAATGATTCGATTAAGCTTACCAGATTTGAACAACCTGATTCAGATTGAATCTAGATAGAAAGCTACGTCATAGAAAGGAATTAATGAACTGATCAATATTCAAAGTTGGGAAATACTAATATGTAGAAAATAGGAAATAAATGAAACTGCACAACAAGCAACCATTTGGCCAGACAACTGACGTGTTTGGTAAAAGTGTTTAGTCGCCACTATCAGTGGTTTATAAGCTATCCGGAAAGGTTTAAAAGTCTAAGATTGACTAATGTTTGGTATTAGTGTTTTATAGGCAATACGGGAAGGTGTAAAAGTCTAAGATTGACTAATGTTTGTTATTGGTGTTTTAAAGGCTATACGGGAAGGTGTAAAAGTCTAAGATTGACTAATGTTTGGTGTTAGTATTTCATAGGCAATACGGGAAGGTGTAAAAGTCTAAGATTGACAAATGTTTGTTATCAGTGTTTTATAGGCTATATGGGAAGGTGTAAAAGTCTAAGATTGACTAATGTTTGTTATTAGTGTTTTATAGGCTATACGGGAAGGTGTAAAAGTCTAAGATTGACTAATGTTTTGTATGAGCGTTTAATAAGCTATCCAGATAGGAGTGAAAAACTAAGATTGACTATTGTTTGGTACGAGTGTTTAATAAGCTGTCCAGATATGTGTGAAAACCTATGATTGTTATCAGTTATTTCTAAGCTAACAGCATATGCTTCAAAACCTAAGATTGACTTATGTTTGGTATCAGTGTTTTAAAAGGTATCCAGAAAGGTGTAAAAATCTAAGATTGACTAATGCTTGCTATCAGTTTGTTATAAGCTCTCCGGGTAGGTGTAAAAGTCTAAGATTGACTGATAAGCTGAGACATTTCACTTAAATTAAGATCTATGAATGTCATGCTCGCATGTATTGGTGTATAAGATAAACTGCGGTATCTCACGTTGATTCTAGTTACGTAATACATGCATATTTAAGATAACACGAGACCCTTTGTGCTTAGTGTGCTTACATTGTGGTAGCTTTAATGAAGTGTTGTAATAACCTTACCAGACAAACCTGACTTAAACTTTGTCGATAGACGATAGCAATTGAGTAAACCTTTCAATATTGGTTGCCTATGTACATTTTTCCTGTACCCAAATTCTTGTTTCACCAGGTCCATAATAATTATAATACCAAGCACTTTACTAACAGATAATTTTCTAAACAAATTTATTATGAAATACCTTTAACAATTGGCTATACCTATAGTATTCGTAAAACAAAACAAAACAAAACAAAAGGAATCAACATTCTTCGCTCATTATTTTATTTCTTGCTTCACCTAACCTAGTGATAATATGACGTATTTCTTGCTTCACCTAACCTAGTGATAATATGACATATTTCTTGCTTCACCTAACCTAGTGATAATATGACATATTTCTTGCCCCACCTAACCTAGTGATAATAGGACGAATTTCTGGCTTCACCTTACCTAGTGATAATATGGCGTATTTCTTGCTTCACCTAACCTAGTGTTAAAAGGACGTATTTCTTGCTTCACCTAACCTAGTGATAATATGACATATTTCTTGCCCCACCTAACCTAGTGATAATATGATATTTTTCTTGCCCCACCTAACCTAGTGATAATAGGACGAACTTCTGGCTTCACCTTACCTAGTGATAATATGGCGTATTTCTTGCTTCACCTAACCTAGTGTTAAAAGGACGTATTTCTTGCTTCACCTAACCTAGTGATAATAGGACGAACTTCTTGCTTCACCTAACCTAGTGTTAAAAGGACGTATTTCTTGCTCCAGCTAACCTAGTGATAATATGACGTATTTCTTGCTTCACCTAACCTAGTGATAATATGACGTATTTTTTGCTCCACCTAACCTAGTGATAATAGAACGTATTTCTTTCTCCACCTAACCTTGTGATAATATGGCGGTTTGCTGTAATCACTAAAACAAAGTTTTGAATAAATATACCCATTGACGATGTGTTGAGCACTAGAATAAAATCTTTAACAAGTTCGATTTAACAAATTCGTTTACCTGTACACAGTTAAAACAAAGGCTGCAGTTTAAAATTTAACTATAGTATACGGGATATTAGAAGATTATATTACCATAATATACCATAACCTGTTACTACTCCTGAAATAAGCATACATGTGAAATAGAATACTACCAATAACTCACAATTAATTATAGTTTATAGATTACCTTAATACTATATTTCTCATATTCAAAAACTAAATCAATAAAAAATCAATTTTCAAAAAAATTGGTAATTTTGATTACAAAAACCAATGCATGTTAAAAACAGGGATGATAGGAATCTATTTTTATAGATGACCTTAATGCTATTTATCTAATTTCTAAAATTTCAATACCATATCGATTTTCAAAACTTGGGAATATTGGTTATTTTTATTGCAAAATAAAATCAATGCATGTTAAAACAGGTAGGATTAGTCATATTTCAATATATTTTATACTTATTTATATAGATAGAAGAGCACAAAATGTACAAATCTATCAGGCCTCCTTCATGTTGTTTATTCTTTCATAGTGTTAACAAAACTAATATATTTACAATATGAAGCACAGGTTAGTATATTAAGTAAGAGTTAGACCTTAAGGAATGTTAACATTGGTTTCGGTTCACATAGATAATGTACATACCAGTTTAAGAGTACAAAGACATAAACACACCTAAGTCCTGCTGAGATCATGCTGAGCAAAGGCAAATATTTTGAGATTGCCTGAGTTGACATATCTAAAGAGAATGTAAACTGAATGGAAACTGTTGTTTGTACAAATTGATCTGTCAAGACAAGGAGACATATTGGACGAAAAACCGTTGGTACGTGTTGTGTAAAGAAGGTGTTTGTTCCGGGGACGTTTAGGCCTTAACACACACGCGAGATGTTGAAAACAATTGGGGATGGTATTGGCTTTAAATAGACTGTGACCTTAAAACCCTACTCGAGGAAGAACTGTGGGATTTTCTCAAGTGTGTTTTTGTTAAATGAAAACATATAAGTATTTCTTTTATTTATGCGTTGTAGATTTCAGTTTGATGAAAAACAGTGTCGATTAACATTTATTCCCGAAAATATTTCTCCACTAATTAAATTGAGTGAATGACCCTATAAGAGAATAGCTTAATTGACTTGTAAAAAAATGATATCAGAAAGGGGGTGTTGAGAATACCTTAGTCTATTTTTGATAGCTGGACTCACGCGATTGATAACTAAATATAGAGTTAAACGATGATATGTAGAGAACTCGTGTCAATCAGGCTAGTCGGACACAGTAGTCTTACATTCGATAACCTCTTGTTTGTGTGGAACTTTATTACAGATAATTCAATAAGAACATATTCAGATAGATGGACAGGGCAACACAAATGACCGTTTCTGGACATGATTTTACCAAGGTAGCATATAGATATATTATATACCCTCGTTAGTGTTACAAAGTCATGCGCGATATATAATATCATATGAAAATAGAATCCTTAAGGATGAGTGTGTAGCCAAAATAAAACCAATAAGCATTGTACATTTTACATGACACAATAGTCAAACGTGTTTAAACCCAAAATAAGCAAGCGATACACAGAGGTCCTCTCACAACCGTTGATGTAATGAAATGCATACCCGCTGGGACTGTTATTTAATACAATATTGCCATTTTGTGCAAAAATAGCAATAAACCGATTTGTTCAAGCACAACAAATTAACACAAACAACGAAAATATCAGTTGAACTATGCATCAGTGACAAGAACAAGCAATAATCGAACATCAATGCATAAAAGGATTTTGAAGATTTTATCATACAGTAGTACATTCATAATTAATATATATAATAAACAGAGCTAATATGAGACTGAGGGAAATGGTCAAAAATGCCTTTATGTTTACCTTAGGTGATTTTGAAGAGTTACATCACATTCACGTGAAATGAAAACGGATTCATTTTTTTCTGTTTTTAATGTTGCCTATCATCAATAAATAACTTCATATGGTAGGAAACTATGAAAAACCACCAATACAATGACTAATATTACATTACATCCGATAGGTATATGAACCAGAATCATCAAATATAAGCCTACTATTCTAGATAATAATATTTAAGTTTACATACATATCCACCGTAAACAAATATATTCTTACCTCTCATATTGTGTACAATAGTATTTTTCATTTTGTCGATCTGCATATGTCTAAGTTGTTCTCGCAATTGTTTCTCCTCCCTTCCAAGATTGGCCGCCGCCATCTTCCTCTCTGTTTCTATCCCAATTGTCTTCTTCTGTAGGGAGTTCCTCCGCGCCGAATTCTTGACTCGGCAGCCATTATAGCTCTTGCTGCTTTCCCTAATATATCGGTCGACGTCTCCTTCCTTCATTGTCTTCTAATGCTTCTAACTAGCCGTCAAGGCCAAACACTATCTAGATTAGAAATTCGGCACAATAACAGTTTAATTTGATATTGTTTCTAGCTGCAATATTTTGCACTTCAAACGGTTTCTTCTATAGTAATTAAAGTAGAACCTGATCAAGTTAAGCCGCAAGTTCTCATCGAAATAGCATTTTCATAGTCCCGAGGAAATCAGTCAATGTTCTTATAAATTCACCAATTTACGTTTGCAGACTATTCACTGTAGATATTTACATTGTAATTACCGAATGTGTCCAGCGATTTCCTCTTTTCGATGGCAAATGTTTATAAAATACGTCTTCTGTTTCTAGCCTGTATAATATTCCCAATCTAGCGTTATCCGAGAAAATGTGTATTGTCTGGGTTTTCTTGCCGCCGTGTCCACATTGTCCTGGTCTAGCGTTAATATACTATCTCTGTTATAAGAGAGTCAATATATGATCAGCGGTCAATGGATATCTCTGTCGACTGCTGATCGACTGCATGCGTCGTCTCTGTCGTACACAGGTAAAGATACTCTTACCTATATACACGTTCAATATATGTAAAATCAATGGGTCAATTGTGACGGAAATCTTTATCGTTAAGCAAATAATTTATGTGAAATTCACAATGTAATGGGTTTGGTATTAGCTTGTTTGATAACGGACATGGCTTGCAGCACAAGACGCTCGATACCACCTGTTTATACCCGACATCCGTCCTTTCAAGTATTATTTATTTGACAAGTTTTGCACTAGAAAGTGTTTTCTTCGGGTAATTTATACCGATAGAGTGATCTCGACAAATACCGTAACTCCCATGTACGTAAGTTGTATTATACTCCACGCACGTAGTCTGTTTACAGATCCAATTAAAGTGGGACCAATTTGGTGACGCTGTACAAAATATTGACTCTGTACAAACAAAAGTGTATGCGGCCCCTTAAGACGTTACGTCCACCCTTTCTTTCACTAGAACCCTCCCATTGGACTCGCCTGTGTCGACCTGTCTCCAGGTATACCCTTAATCAAAATAACACTCAAACTTTTGTCAAAAATTGACTGAAAACGTATACTGTAATCAAAGGTAATTTTAATTGCTAGCCGGTAAATATGTTTTGAAGACATTTAAATGACTCGACGGGTCTCGTTGATTTCTACCAAGAAAGGGACCTTTATTATACATCTCAATTTTGAGTTGGTTTAAATGAATACGAAGGTCGACTTTATTTCATTTAAAGTGTCATATAATATACATAAGTATATGTACTGTCTGTTTCTGTTAAATCTGTTTAAAATGCTTTTTTGTCTATAAGTTAGTTATATGAAACTGGTTGAACAACAAACGAATTTTATCAAAACATTAACATAAGAGTGTATGGAGTAGGAGTAATGTTGATTTTATGTCCAATCTTCGATTTTTACGGGCACTTATTTATCCATTCTTTTTTAAAGACCTTATAACACATGGTCCGATTTAACAAGCACTTTTCATCTTTGGAAAATCAATGTTCAATTCAGTTTTTTAAGCATGAAATGTGTTACATTTGTTGATTTACTTATAACTACGTTAGTAGTCTCGGGGGAGTGACACTATGTGAATGTATGTAATGTAAACGACTGTGAAACAATTCGTCATAGAATATATTTATCCTTAATTGTATGACACTTTATCAAAATATTAATGGGAACTGAAGCAAAACATGACGATATGTTAGTGTTTCAATTGTGACGTAATCAACAAGTCAGGCTGACCAATAAGAACGACGAATGGTGATAGTGTGCTACACGAAGACCACAGAGGCGGTTAAATTTTATGAATTTCCGGAAATCACGCTTCTTAAAAGGTACTTGCGAGAACAGCGTTAAGACAAAACAACATCGATTCCTATTAAACACAGAGAAAATCTTTGTTATTTTATCAGAGAATAATTAACAGAAGTTAGGGGTTGATGGTACACAAATTACATCTATTTCGACACTCAGGTGAACAGTTATAGAGATTAGAAAAGTTACAGGTAGACAAATTACACCTACAACCATCAGGTAAACAGTTACAAAGATTAGAAATGTTACAGGTAGACCAATTACACCTACAACCATTAGGTAAACAGTTACAAAGATTAGAAAGGTTATAGGTAGGCCAATAACACCTACGTCCATCAGATAAACAGTTACAAAGATTAGAAATGTTACAGGTGGACCAATTACACCTACAACCATAAGATAAACAGTTATAGAGATTAGAAAGGTTATAGGTAGGCCAATAACACCTACGTCCATCGGATAAACAGTTACAGAGATTAGAAAGGTTACAGGTAGACCAATTACACCTACGTCCAACATGGAAACTGTTACAGGTAATTAGAAAGGTAGAACAGTATATCAAAATTAACCTGATTAAATATATCACTGTTGTCTAGTGTTTCTACCAAAATATGTATAGATTTCTACATATGTCACCAATGCTAGAATGGAATTGAGTGTTTCCTTTTAATTTTCAAATACATTTATCAATGTCTTATACATGCATTTCATTAATAGGTGTCTGCTACGGCCCAAACCTCTGACACAATCGTCTTCCTGAATCACCAACAAACCTGGCATTACACCATTACGATATTTCCGTTTTGTGTCGTAGTTTATCGAGTGCATGGTATAAGCCATTGGTGAATGCTTAATATTAATGAATAAATGATAAAGTACTAATTTGATTTTTCATGCCGTCGGGTATTGCACTGAAAAACAACTGTCGATATTATTGTGCTTTGTCTTCCGAAGTATAGCGTCAGTGTTGACGACTTGTTCGATAATCAGTTGAGTCTAATTATGTAATTAGAAATATCCGGGTATGAGTTTTCTTTGTACCAATACGGCTTGTATAATTATTATGAGTCAAAACAGTTTCTATCGATTCGCTTTTCTTTTGTGGGAATGCCATGTTGTCAATTAGTTCGATTATTTCCTATACTGTTCACACCATGTAATACGATAAAGTATTCAACTCTGATCACACATGCTATACTGTTGTATTTGATCTCTCTACGCTAGTCGTCTCAATCTCCTTATAATGTGTAGACCGATACAGCGCCAGTTTAAAATAATGTAAAAGGGCTGACAGACACGAAACATATTATACATGGATACACAAAACAACTCTTTTATAAATAAAAATGTTATTTGATGCTTAAGAATGATTCCTGACTGCGTTTGATAAAATTGTCATTGTATTGAATACTATGGAAAAATGAACTTAGATAGGTTTGAATGTTTTAAGGGAGTCAAACACAATACATAAATGTCACACTTCAAACCTTTGAAGAGCATCCATTCTTTCGACAATATAGCTTGTACATTTTCTTTTTCTTTTTAGGCCCTTGTCAATAACTTTGATGAGTTTTTTTATGAAACAGGACAAAACGTTCAAAAATACAAGGTGAATGTAAATACACTGTATCGTAAGGGTGTGTGTAAAGTGCATGGGTTTCAGGAAAGAATCATTGCCTATATATTCATCTTTAATATTGCTCTTTAAGTGAATTCAGCAATTATTCCGTTCATCACTTCATTATTTCAGAAAATGTCTTAAAAGTATATAGATTTCATTCAAGCCATTTTGAAAATCAGTGCATTTTGTTACTTTGTACTAGTGATATAGCACGAATAGAATACATATGTTTCAATCGTTGTTATTTGGTTATCATGGGGTCACGATCATATGCCATAATATGTGACGTACACAAACGCTTGCAATTGATAAATGCTTTCATGAAATCATAGTTATGATGAATTTAATTTTCCATTAATGTACAAAAGGAGTAAACAATACGAATAAAGGTGGTCGATATATTGGCTTCAGTGACGCAATAACCGGTCTCACAATATTGGCGTAAATAAATCAGTACGGTCGATAGTTTGTTTACTCGATACTGTGATGTAATTAGACGCGGAAGTATGTACGAGTAATAAGACAGATATGCCCAATGCTCCCAACTCTGCTACAGGTCAAGAATGATGATCAATTCATGGAGAGATTGAATATATTGAAAATAAACTTTGCCTTTATGAACCACGCCGAAAGTTTCAGTGTGGACACGACCAGTAGCAGTTACCCTGTAACAGTGGTTATCTTCTCTATGCAAACTCCACAACCCTCATCCAATATCCCACATCCCACAACCCACATCCATGACTCCTAACCCAATATTCAGACATCTAAACCATATCCCCGCCGATTATTCGTCGCCCCATATCTGCATATCCCATTCCCTTTACCGTCAACCCACAATCAGCATTTTTCTGTCTACAGCCCTCACCCCACTACCCTGAACAACACACGCTAGTCCACATGGAGATTTAAGCAACTCGTCGCTATTTAGATGTTGTATATTATTATTGCTATGATATCAATACATTCTTGTTGTCCAAACCTCTAAAAGATAACGGAAATGTTAGAATTTTATAGATGAATAAATAGGTACATTATAAATACGTATATCATTGACATAGTGAGTAGGTTAATATGTGCATGCCCTTGATTCCATCCATGACACTTCAGTGCCATACATTGATAGATCTTTCCGGGACATCATTATGGGTAACTCGCGAAGAACAGGAAACACTTACCCTTGCATTATATGGTTTCATCTCATTTTCCTTGATATTCTCTTTTTATGTATGCGTGCTTCCTCTACTAGGTTTAGATCCAGTGTTTAACTTTGATGTTGCTATCTTACTTTGTTGATACAAGGTGTGTTATTTTTGTTCTTGCTGATTACAGTTATTCATTTGATTTTGTAATTCACAACAATGGAAATTAACATTTAACAACAAATTTATTTAATACAAAAATTTGTTTATGCATAAAACAATTTCTGAGGAAAGTCTACCTATCTTAATACTTAAACAAAAGTGTTCTGATGACGTTAATTGTGTGTCATATGTAGCCTCTATGTGTTATGTCCTTTACAAAGCAATTTATAAAATGGCTATTAAATAAGGCGTACGATCGATTATGTTTCCCCTTAGAATGAAGGCTGACATATTGTATTAGTACTGGTTCTTGTGGTTCTGGTTCTGGTTCTTCTAAAATTATCTTGTCCGGGCCATAACTTTTAAACTGCAAAAATGTGTCTTAATGAAACTTGTAGTATACTTGCATCACCCATAGACGATGTGCAGTTCACTGTCATTAGGTCATTGTGATCTTGACCCCAAGGTCAAAGGTAAAACTTGTGCTAATTTTTCAGAAACATCTTATCCGGGCTGTAACTTTTGAACATGTACAAATATCTTGATGAAACTTGCAGTATAACTGCATTACATACATATGATGTGCAATGTAGTGTCAGTAGATCACTGTGTCCTCAAGGTCAAAGGTAAACAAGTCTAATTGTTGCAAACCTTTAAATGTGGACCCTAAGCTGGTGTCTTATTTTGCTTACACTATGTATCTAAGTTTATGACGGCATTGTAAGTTCTATCCAAGCTTCATTTGCGACTATGGGGTCAGTGTATAGG